TTGTACATCTATGATGCTTTCATAGAAGTATTTTCCATCTTGAGTTTCTCCCTCTGATTAGTTCCTCATTGTTCGTGGGGATCCAGTCAAATATATTTTAATTTTTAGTGTATTCTGTTATCGGTTAGTAGAGTTGTAACTTTTCAGTGTCCCATTAACTCTACGGTATATCTCTGTTGGGCTAATGTGGTTTCAGGAACTATTTCTGGTGCACAACTGTGCTCTACCGTCTTTCATTTCATATTTGGGAAATTGAAATTTTCGATGAGGGTATTTGGGATTTTCAAGATTTTGAAGGGGGCTGTCTGTCTACCTTCACTGTTCTGGGAATTTCTCAGCCGTTGCTGAGGTTACGAGGATCGAATCTATAACACTGCTTGCACTGAATGACCCCATACAGGTTTAGCACGTCATATAATTGTAAATAATAATAATAATAATTAATATTCACATTTTAGGTGATTTGTGTGATTCTCTTGCGTAACTTCTATGTGATTAGTCTTGTATGTTCGGTAGTGTTGCACAAGTATTCGCTTGTTGTGTTGCTTCCTGCAGGATTTGTCTCTGTTGTGTTGTTGTATTGGTGTCTTGGTGGTGATGTGAGGGAGGGTTGGTGGTGGTGGCCGCCTGCCAGGTGTCGCTGGCACGCACCACATCACAGTTGTGAACCCCTTTCTTAATTGTTCACCGCCCACCACTATCACTACCCACCATTATCGCTACCCACCACTACCACTACTTCTACCCACCACTGGCATTTCTTGTTTTGAAAGTTCGCATTATCCACTCCCTTCACTTTGTAGTCTTCGCGACATTTGCCATATTGTTTTCTCTAAATGATGGGTCACCTGACACTAGGATACTCAGTTTTCTACAAGTTCCTGTAGTTCTACGAGGTGGTAGTCCTCGTGTGTGTTGTCTGGAACTCCCTTAGTTGAGTTCTTTTGTTCTTCCATACCTAAGCATTGTCACCATTGAAGACAAGTTTCATAAATTAGACACATGTGCAACACTTGGGTATCTTTATTGTGGAAACGTTTCGCCACACAGTGGCTTCCTCAGTCCTATACAAAGAATGGTGAAGATCAGAACGAGTATGAGGGACTGATTACCTCAAACTCCTCGTCTCCTTGCACCTTTCTGTTTTGTATTGGACTGATGAAGTCACTGTGTGGTGAAACGTTTCCACAATAAAGATACCCAAGTGTTGCACATGTGTCTAATTTATCATTGGTCATGTTATTTTCTGATGTCCACTGCGCGTTTTTTGAGAGCTTTAGACAAGTTTTCGTAAATATTTTTTTTATTAAACGGTAAACGCGTAATTCAGTTTGCCAGTTTTATTAAATGCATTGTTTCCTATGTAATAACTAGAGAATGCCTCTTCTGATTGGCTTCAAACCCCAAACGCTGGGGAATTACCTATGAACTTCTGGCTTTCTTCAAGTGGGAACTTGACAAGTTGGACTGTGTGTGAACAGCAGTAACAGCCTGGTTATTCAAGCCTTAATCCAGCAGGTCTTGTCTGGGACCAGGCCGCGGGGGCGTTGACCCCCCTGGAATGGTCTTTCAGGTATCCTGTTGAGCGAAACTAAGCCACAGTAAATATGTTATTAGCAATTGTCATATATCTAACATAGTAATGTTGTAGCCTGGTGCTGCTGAGTGCCACTTTCCCTGTACTGAAATAGACTGTTGGCGGCTGTGTGTGTGTGTGTGTGTGTGTGTGTGTGTGTGTGTGTGTGTGTGTGTGTTACCATTTTGTCCTAGGCACATGTCGATTAGACACTAGGCCTGTTGTATGTGTGTATATGCGTGTATGTGTGTGTGTGTGTGTGTGTACACTTACCTATTTGTACTCACCTGTTTGTGCTTGCAGGGGTCGATTCACAGTTCCTGGCCCCGCCTCTTGGCTGGTCGTTACTAGGTCCACACACACATACCTTGCTCCACGAGCTTTATCGTGCCTCTTCTTAAAGCTATGTATAAATCTTTCCTGCCTCCATTACATCACTCTAGATTATTCCACTTCCTGACGATTCTATGGCTGAAGAAAAACTTCCTAACATCCCTGTGGCTATTCTGAGTATCCAACTTCCAGTTGTGACCCCTTGTTGCTTTGTCCCATCTTCGAAACATTGTCCCTATATATCTTGTCAATTCCTCTCAATATCTTGTATGTCATTATCAAGTCTCCCCATCTCTCCTGACCTCCAGGTGTGTGTGTGTGTGTGTGTGTGTGTGTGTGTGTGTGTGTGTGTGTGTGTGTGTGTGTGTGTGTATGTATGTGTGTGTATGTATGTGTGTGTGTCTCTGTGTGTTGGGGGTGTTGGAGGGAATGGTGGGGTGATGGAGAGGGTGGTGGAGGCGTTGGAGAGGGTGGTGGGGTGTTGGAGAGGGTGGTGGGGGTGTTGGTGAGGGTGGTTGTGGGGGGGTGTTGTGAGAGTGGTTGTGAGGGTGGTTGTGGGTGTGTTGGGGAGGGTGGTAGGAGTGGTGGGGATGAGAGGACAGCACAGGTGGTCAATAGGTGCTGTGGGTCACGACATCTGGAATGCGATATCGCTGTACACGTGCTCTCACACAAACCTGTGACAGGTTTCCAGAGATCTCATCCCAGCCTGGGGCCAAGCTTCCTGGCCATTTCGTGACCAACTAGGCTGTTGCTACCACCCACCTGTATTCCCTCAACCACCCATTTCATAGACTTGGATTATATATATAATGTCGTGCCGAATAGGTAAAACTGGTCAATTAGCAAGAACTCGTTTAAAATTAAGTTCTTTATAAAATTTTCTCTTATACGTTTAAAGATATAGTTTTCATTTATGTTAATGTAAAAATTAATAAATTTTTTACCAAAAGAACCTTAGAAAACTTACCTAATCTTATAACAAGCCAATTTAATTTAGCTTAATCTAACTAAATATATTTTAGATAAATTTACAATAATTTAATAATAAAGAAACAGTGAAATATATTTTTTTTCGTTAGGTTCAGAATGATTTTTGCGAAATTATTGTATATACAAATTTTCGCTTACCTTATTCGGCAAGAAGAGCGTTGCTATTTAAGCCAGAATAGCAAGTTTTACCTATTCGGCAGGACATATATATATATATATATATATATATATATATATATATATATATATATATATATATATATTATATATTTGTATGCATACCTCAAGCGCCCTAAACCCGTTTGGGTCATCCTCTGTTCGCTGTTAAGAGACAGAAACACTTCTTTCGGTTAGGTTAGTAAGTAAACCTGACTAGTATGGGCCAGTAGGCCTTCTCAGTGTTCTTAGAGTAGGCCTACTGGCCTGTTGTCAGAGCTCTCTTGGTATACCTGGAATATACCTGGAGAGGTTTCGGGGGTCAACGCCCCCGCGGCTCTGAGACCAGGCCTCGTGGTTTGCATTAATATACACTTTGATGAATAATATTACCACAATTATGACACTGAATCAGACCATAAGACCGGAGGACCACTACATCAGGTCTTCCAGCCCATACTTGGCAAGTTCTACGCAAATCTAACTACAGTGTATTTAAAATTCTGCAATATTGACTAGATACGCAAAGCAGCGTCGCCTTTGTTATAATGTTTCGCTCAGGGGGACCTTTGATGGTGGTGAAGGCTCTTGATACAAAGTATTAGAGCTACCCTCTCCCTTTCCTCGCATCAAGCCTGATTAAGTTTATTTAGGTACAGGTACACGTAAGTACAATTATTGTACATAGTAACGTGTGTAAATTACCCAAAATAGCCCAAGAAAAAGGTCAGTGATTTATTTCCATTGGAGTCCTTGATTACCTCCCAAAATATAGTTTGATAAAACTTATCTCAAGTGAATCCTATAATAAAAACATTGTCTTGTGAATAACTGAAGAGGATCCCAGGAGTCGAAGTATACAGATCAATCTCCCGAGTTTTTACCATGTTGGTTATTATTGAGCACATTATCTGCTGTTACTGCTGCTTGTACCAGCATTGTTTGCGTATATTTGCGTATAGTTGTAAAGGAATATAAGATGAGTTGTGTCTTGGAGACGGTAGTCGAGGGGTGTCTTGGAGACGGTAGTCGAGGGATGGTTGGTTGTTAGTGAGTGAGGCCGGCAAGACGGTGGTGGCAACAAAGAGGGAGTCTGGTTACAGCTGCTGCCTTGACTGACAGTACACACGCGCCCCTTCTCACCCCACACTCATTCCTTCACTCATGTCAACGAAGACTCCTCCCTCTCCCTACACCGGTTATTTTGGTGTTGGGCGACATTTATGAGTGTGTATGGTAGGGAGACAGCTGTTGACCCATGCTTGGAGTGGTACTAAGGCCCTGCACACCGTTCTTACTGTCATTCACTGGCCAGATGACTCTGCCTCGCCTCTCTACCAGACGTCTCATTGTTTACTTTTTTCAGAAGCTCCTTGCAACATCCTCACTTCCTTTGCAACATCCTCACTTCCTGTTACCATGTTCGGCAGTGCCTGGTTGCTAAATTATTTCCCATTTATCGTTTTAAGCGCATATGCACCGGAAATACTATATTTAGCGTTCTTTTGTTCAGTTTAAGGATTAGTGTTGATGTACTGTTTGGTGGGTAAGTTGGTTATCTCGGCCACCTGTCTTTAATCTGGTCAGTGATTGGTGTATATCGTAAGATGGAGCACGAGGGAAGGCAGCCATTGGTCAAGACGAGCTGGGAGTAGCTGGTCATTGGTTACTGTAGCGTCCCTAGTCGCGTGCTGGGCAGGTGTCGCCTGTTAGTAACTACACCTATTTACCCGATGCTCGAAATTATCATTAAATTAATGCGTTCAATCGTAACTTTGAAATAAAATTAAGGTGATCATAACTATCTTAAATTGTGTATGACATGTGGAGATTAGTATTCGCTAAAAAATGTCTTGGTTGATTAGTAGTGGTAGGAGAACTGGATGAGACTATCGTTGGCATCTTGGGAGGAGCAGATGGTGGGGGCGGCGGGTGTGTGGAAGCTGATGGTTAGTTAGTCTTTGATCGCTTCTGGCCTCGTGTGCTCGCCTCTCACGAGTGGCCTTCATGAGTACTCGTGAGTTACTCAACAAACTGGAGACAGGAAGAAAATGTTGATTTGTCTGTCAGGCTTCGTGATATCACCTCCCGTCAGGTGAGTACAAGGTGGTTATATGTTAGGTACCCTGGATCATCACCCCCGCGACCCAGTCTCGGACCAGGACTCGTAAATTGGAAAGGAAATAATACAGGGTTAGAATTTAAGAAAGAGACAAAACTCGCAGGTATGAATTAAAGCTGAATGAAGTCAGAAAGTGTATAGGAAAAACACTGATTTAGGAATAGAGAAGTAGATGAGTGAAACAAATTGCCAAGTAGCGTCGTTGACGCAAGCACTTTGGGTATCTTCAAAAATAGACAAATACAGTACATGAGAGTAAGACCTGCGTATTATGGACCAGTATTCCTACTATCCTTAGGATTATCTTGGGTACGTCAGCAGTGTACTGCTAGGCTACTCTATATGATGCATTATGGGAACAAAAGCTGGCAACAGTGAATGTCGAGGTAGACCATAGTTACCTAGGTCTTAAGTAGGGGGATGGACGGGCACACCTGGCCTGCACCTGGTAGCGGTTCTTCCTAATGTCTTGCCCCTTTCCGCTTTGCCGCGTAAAAGCAGTACACAAATCTGACATATATTTCTCATTTCTAGATATTTTAACTGGAGACAGTAAACGATCCCTGCATTTCCTAGCTCCCTTGCCTTGAAAGGGGCTCTGATTAGCAATATTTTATACGCGAAAACGCGTGATCTGACAGTTCTTACAATACAGCCTGGCGTAATCCTAGATTTGAATCGTGACTGAGTCCTACTGTAACTAACTGTATGATAATTGTACTCATATGTACCTTTGTCTAAATATCTGTAACGTAAGGTTTGCGGGCATGATTATATTCATAGGTCTTTTGCATGTCCCTTTCGTTTAGTCACTTCAGTGGATGATCCTTTGGATTTGTATCTTATTGTTTTTAGATCAAAATTTTCCCCCATATATAAGCAATTAGATAATGTTTCTCTGTGCAGTCATGAGTGAGAATGGATGGAAGGCTGTAGTAATGAGAGAAGCAGCAGCAGTAGCACCAGTGTGGGTAGTCACGTCATGGGTGTGGTCACTCCAGCAGGTCACCTCACATACACGCTCACTGCATTCCACACTGTTCCTAATTAGTCACGTTTGTTTTTCATAGCTGAAGGGCTCCCCCTCCCCTCAAGCGATTCAAATTATGTGAATAAACTGTTTACAAAACAGACTAGTTGATAAATGACATAACATTCGGGTATTAAAATGGCATACAATATCGACAGGTTGATAAATAAGACACATGTGCAACAATTAAGTATATTCCGAAACGTTTCTTCTTTTTTATTGTAATAATAATCCGAAACGTTTCGCCTACACAGTAGGCTTCTTCAGTCGAGTACAGAGTAGGTGGCAGAAGCAGTAGATATGTAAATACGATGTAATAAACCCTTAACTGTCCTAACCAGTCATTAACTGTTCATGCACTAATTTTTTTTCTTATTTTCCTTTCAGTTCCCCGGTGAAGGTTGATCGTGGGTACTGTGGCAAGGGTCCCCCAGGGCGAGGCCTAGGGCCAGGTATAACAAAATCCTACAGTGTTGAGAGTTCTGTTCCACCCATACCTCCACACCTTCACCATGGCCACCACCATCACCACCATAATGGCAGTCACAGTATGCGACGACCACAGGTACGACACTTAACAGTTTAAGGAATAATATTGTTAAGGACCCCAATGAAAATAAGTCACTTTGTCTTTTTTGGGGGTTATCCTAGGTAATTTACACTATGATAATTGTACTTATGTGTACTTGTACCTAAATAAACTTAAGTTGGCTGCAGCACTTCTCAGGTAGTCTGCAAATTGAAAATGAAAATGAATGATTAGCAACTTTATTTAGGTACAGGTACACACAAGTATAATTATCATATACTATAGTGTAATGTATCAAGGTATACGACAAACTCTAATCATTCAGTAGAGCGAAAAAGAACTGTGAAGGACCTGGGAGTGATAATGTCAGAGGATCTCGCCTTCAAAGACCACAACAATGTATCTACCTCATCTACTAGGAAAATGATAGGATAGAAAATGAGAACCTTTAAAATTAGGCACGCCAAGCCCATGATGATCCTCTTCAAATCGCTTGTTCTCTCTAGGCTGGAATACTGCTGTACACTAACCGCCCCCTCCAAGGCTGGATACATTGCAGACCTGGAGACCGTGCAAAGAACATTCACGGCACACATAAGTACGATAAGGCACCTAAATTACTGGGAACGGTTGAAGGTCCTTCATCTGGATTTCCTGGAATGCAGGCGAGGGAGATACATGATAATATACACTTGGAAGGTCCTGGAGGGATTGGTACTAAACCTGCACAAGCAAAAGACTCTGCTGGAGATGTAACATTTCCCCGATGAAAAGCAGGGGAGCCACGAGTACACCGAAGAGACAACACAATAAGTGTCCGGGGCCCCAAGACTGTTCAACTGCCTCCCAGCATACATAAGGGGGGATTACTAATAGACCCCTGGCTGTCTTCAAGAAGGCACTGGAGAGGCACCTAAAGTCAGTACCTGACCAACTGGGCTGTGGTTCGTACGTCAGTTTGCGTGCAGCCAACAGTAACAGCCTGGTTGATCAGACCCTGATCCACCATAAGGCTTGGTCTCAGACTGAGCCTCGGGGGCGTTGACCCCCGAAACCCTCTCCAGGTAAACTCCAGGTATTTACCTAGGATAACTCCCCTAAAAAAGTCCAGTTTTCATTTTCAATTTGTAGATTAACTGTGGATATAAGATTGATTTACTACTGAGATACCTATTATGTTGTAGTTTTTATTCAACAATAAAACGGTGGATTTGTTATGATGACAAGAACACTACTTTTTCTCCTTGCTACTAATTTAGACTGTAATATCTAGGATACCAGAGCCCTTAAGATATGATTAAAGAAATTTTTTTTTATATACATGTATAACTGTCCTTCTGTATCCTGAAACTTGCTAATCAAATTGAAAACACAACAGATCTTAATATGTATTCATACAGGCTTATAGTAAGCGTTTGTTAGCTTACAAATTATAATCTAAGACAACATCTTTCACTTGCTACTAGTGTTCAATAGCCCTTGTGGCTTAGCGCTTCTTTTTGATTATAATAATACTAGTGTTCATTTAGCCTTAATTACATAATTAGGAGTTATTACATTCATAGGGAGAATGATAAACCCTAATTATGTCTCCTTTATTTATGCCTGGTTTTCTATTTGCATTGCATTGGATTAACTTTGTCTTTTGTTTCAATTTTCTCCAGTGCATTTATATCCATTCTGTAGTTTTGGAGACCAAAAGTACAATGTGCAATCTAAACGAGGACTTACTCACCATGGGTTTGAACCCATGGTGAGTGAGTCATAAAACTCCAGTAGCTTACGTACTGACCTGGAGTTTTACAACCTGCTTGCCATGGGTTCAGACCTCGCCCACTCCGTGGTTTTATTATCTGTGTATTCTTTTGGCCATGGTATTACGACCTATTTTTCCTTGACAATGGTTGTGGTAGTTACAGCAAGTGGTGTCTCAGAGTAGCTGTGTGGGTACAGGAGGTCGGCGGCAGGTCCCCCGCGGGTCTACAGCAGATGACAGTGGTAATCGCAACAGCCGTTGGCGGGGCAGTGGTGCCCAGGGTAATGTCCAAGGATATGAATTATCACAAGATTTCGCCGACATGCGACTTGAGATGTTGGAGCGCAGGTTTGTATTTTTATTAACATCCTCAAATTTTTGCAACGCTGCTCTGGTTGAAGTGCATCAAATACTACTATTTTTTTTCCATGTCTCTTGGTAGTGATAGTGCTTTAAATGAATACTATTTGTGATTCTCTACCTTCTGAATATATTAAATTTATTTGGTTGACAGCCAACAATTTTTATATCTTTATCATAAGTATTCATAACTAACCATCACTTTGAGTGGAAACCTAGACATTTCAGTCTCTGTTACTAGTGAACTGCTCCTTCTATGGTATTGTGACTTGTACTCTTCATAACAGGTATGGAGGTGTGGTAGCTCGTCGCGCGGCCATCACTATACAGCGAGCGTACCGTCGCTATGCTATGTACAAGAAGTTCCGTTCTATCACAGCCACAGCCAAGGCCCAGGAGAAGCGTCTGTCACGCAGGTTCACAGTTGATGTCCCTGACTACCACGACACCGAGCATCTGATTCGTTCAGAATTTGATCAGCTGCAAAGAAATTTGAGTGCAACAGGTGTGTAAAACAAGATGGAAATATTAAACACAAATGCAGTATAATGTGATCCTTTATTGAGTAAGTTTTGCCCACACATTGGGCTTTATCAAGTCACAAACAGATCTACCTGGGTAAAGAGTACATGAGTATATATAGGATAGAGAGTCAGGTGGAGAATTCTGCATTTGTTTAATTTGTCCCTAATGTCAGTATTTTATACCTTTTATCTCCATCGTGTAAAACGAGTTGAGAATTGAGTGAGACACACTGGGATAGTTTTCAGGAATTTATCGTAAGTACACCTGATTATGAAGGCTTTAATTAATGTTTTCATTCTTTAGGGCATCCTGCCATGGTGATAAACATCAGATGTGTAAAAACAATTTGCTTTTGATAGTGATTTTTCTTGTAATTTATAGCCTCTGTCTGAAATAATGTATGATGAATATTATTAGGTATACCTGAAAAGATTCCTTTAGGTGGTGATTGATAGAATTTTGTTGTTTTGTCTTCGAGTTTTTCATTTATAACCTGAGAACTATAACCAGGGAAAGAAGGTTTATGCATTTACATGAATGGGCAGGTGGCCTTTTGTCAATTTGATGAAACCTGTAAACATTTACTAAAAAAGAGAAGAAGAAAAACTTTATAAAACTGGGATGCTTGAATGTGAGTGGATGTAGTGCGGATGACAAGAAACATGATTGCTGATGTTATGAATGAAAAGAAGTTGGATGTCCTGGCCCTAAGCGAAACAAAGCTGAAGGGGGTAGGGGAGTTTCGGTGGGGGGAGATAAATGGGATTAAATCTGGAGTATCTGAGAGAGTTAGAGCAAAGGAAGGGGTAGCAGTAATGTTGAAGGATCAGTTATGGAAGGAGAAAAGAGAATATGAATGTGTAAATTCAGGGATTATGTGGATTAAAGTAAAGGTTGGATGTGAAAAGTGGGTCATAATAAGCGTGTATGCACCTGGAGAAGAGAGGAATGTAGAGGAGAGAGAGAGATTTTGGGAGATGTTAAGTGAATGTATAGGAACCTTTGAACCAAGTGAGAGAGTAATTGTGGTAGGGGACCTGAATGCTAAAGTAGGAGAAACTTTTAGAGAGGGTGTAGTAGGTAAGTTTGGGGTGCCAGGTGTAAATGATAATGGGAGCCCTTTGATTGAACTTTGTATAGAAAGGGGTTTAGTTATAGGTAATACATATTTTAAGAAAAAGAGGATAAATAAGTATACAAGATATGATGTAGGGCAGAATGACAGTAGTTTGTTGGATTATGTATTGATTGATAAAAGACTGTTGAGTAGACTTCAGGATGTACATGTTTATAGAGGGGTCACAGATATATCAGATCACTTTTTAGTTGTATCTACACTGAGAGTAAAAGGTAGATGGGATACAAGGAGAATAGAAGCGTCAGAGAAGAGAGAGGTGAAGGTTTATAAACTAAAAGAGGAGGCAGTTAGGGTAAGATATAAACAGCTATTGGAGGATAGATGAGCTAATGAGAGCATAGGCAATGGGGTCGAAGAGGTATGGGGTAGGTTTAAAAATGTAGTGTTAGTGTTCAGCAGAAGTTTGTGGTTACAGGAAAGTGGGTGCGGGAGGGAAGAGGAGCGATTGGTGGAATGATGATGTAAAGAGTAGTAAGGGAGAAAAAGTTAGCATATGAGAAGTTTTTACAAAGTAGAGGTGATGCAAGGAGGGAAGAGTATATGGAGAAAAAGAGAGAGGTTAAGAGAGTGGTGAAGCAATGTAAAAAGAGAGCAAATGAGAGAGTGGGTGAGATGTTATCAACGAATTTTGTTGAAAATAAGAAAAAGTTTTGGAGTGAGATTAACAAGTTAATTAAGGAAGCCTAAGAGAACAAATGGATTTGTTTCTTTCTTTCTTTCTTTCAACCCACCAGCCGTATCCCACTGAGGTGGGGTGGCCCAAAAAGAAAAACAGAAGTTTCTCGTTTTAAATTAAGTAATATATACAGGAGAAGGGGTTACTATCCCCTTGCTCCCGGCATTTTAGTCGCCTCTTACAACACGCATAGCTTATGGAGGAAGAATTCTGTTCCACTTTCCCATGGAGATAAGAGGAAATAAACAAGAAGAAGAACTAGAAAGAAAATAGAAGAAAACCAAGAGGAGTGTGTATATATATGCTTCTACATGTATGTGTAGTGTGACCTAAGTGTAAGTAGAAATAGCAAGATGTACCTGAAATCTTGCATGTGTATGAGACACAAAAAAAAAGACACCAGCAATCCTACCATCATGTAAAACAATTACAGGTTTCCGTTTTACACTCACTTGGCAGGACGGTAGTACCTCCCTGGGCGGTTGCTGTCTACCAACCTACTACCTAGTAACAAATGGATTTGTCAGTTAAAAATAGGAGAGGAGAATTATTAAATGGAGAGTTAGAGGTATTGGGAAGATGGAAGGAATATTTTGAGAAATTGTTAATTGTTGATGAAGATAGGGAAGCTGTGATTTCGTGTATAGGGCAAGGAGGAATAACATCTTGTAGGAGTGAGGAAGAGCCAGTTGTGAGTGTGGGGGAAGTTCGTGAGGCAGTAGGTAAAATAAAAGGGGGTAAGGCAGCTGGGATTGATGGGATAAAGATAGAAATGTTAAAAGCAGGTGGGGATATAGTTTTGGAGTGGTTGGTGCAATTATTTAATAAATGTATGGAAGAGGGTGAGGTACCTAGGGATTGGCAGAGAGCATGCATAGTTCCTTTGTATAAAGGCAAAGGGGACAAAAGAGAGTGCAAAAATTATAGGGAGGTAAGTCTGTTGAGTATACCTGGTAAAGTGTATGGTAGAGTTGTTATTAAAAGAATTAATTAAGAGTAAGACGGAGAATAGGATAGCAGATGAACAAGGAGGCTTTAGGAAAGGTATGGGGTGTGTGGACCAGGTGTTTACAGTGAAACATATAAGTGAATAGTATTTACGTAAGTCTAAAGAGGTTTTTGTGGCATTTATGGATTTGGGAAAGGCGTACGACAGGGTGGATAGGGGGGCATTGTGGTAGATGTTGCAAGTGTATGGTGTAGGAGGTAGGTTACTGAAAGCAGTGAAGAGTTTTTACGAGGATAGTGAGGCTCAAGTTAGAGTATGTAGGAAAGAGGGATATTATTTCCCAGTAAAAGTAGGCCTTAGATGGGAAGTACAGTGCCTACACTCTGAAGGAGGGGTGTTAATGTTGCAGTTTAAAAACTGTAGTGTAAAGCACCCTTCTGGCAAGACAGTGATGGAGTGAATGATGGTAAAAGTTTTTCTTTTTCGGGCCACCCTGCCTTGGTGGGAATCGGCCAGTGTGTTAATAAAAAAAATAAAAAAAATAATTGCTAATTTTGGTTTCGTACAATATCTTGAAGCTTTTTCTGAATGGCTTTAACCTTTAATGGCTGATCCATTATATGAAAAGAATGAAAGGTTAAATTTGGATTTAATTTAGTCTTGGAGCCTTGGTCACTCCAAATGATACAAGATAATGAGAGAATACAGTGGAGAAAGATGTCACTGGTGAAGATCACATGAAGCTGTAAAAATAGGTTAGACAAGTATGAGTGGATGTGGGTGGGTGAATTGAACCTGTCTGGTATGGGCCAGCAGTGCTACTCCTCTCTTTAGTTCTTATGAAGGCATCAGGGCTTCTAATTGCTGTGTTACAACTTGGTGTAGATTAGTATCATGTGCAAGGGTAGTTGAGATGTATTTGCTAGCGCTTTATTCTATGGCGATGGAAGTAGCAATTATGGATACTTCGGTACAGTGGTGCCCATCAGTATTGAGTTCTCTGTAGATTAATTCTCCTCTGTTCTGGTGCATGAGGCATCCCTCTTTAGAACTGTAGATTACCATAATTATGAAAAGGTATACAATACCGATAAATAGACAAGTAAGACACATATGCAGTAGTTGGCTATCTTTATTGTTGAAATGTTTCACCTTCATGGTAGGCTTCTTAAAGACAAGAAAATAAGTATACAGACAGCAAGTATAGTGGCGAAGATGATGTAATCAGTCCATCATCCAACTGCTGCGCATTTCACTTGTAAACTTCCCATGTTGAACACACATTCTTTTCATGTTTGACTTGCATACTTATATTCATTGATGCATTTGTGGTTTCTCATAGAGGTTTAAGTCTGAAGACATTGTTTTATAAAAATATTCTTATATTAAAGTTCAGTGTTTTTTTTTCAGTTTTGTTTGTTTTTCAAATGTTTATTTTGCTTCTCTGTTTGGTTATCAAAATTTGTTCTTCTAGTGTTTTGTTTTCCAGAGTATGTATGAAAATGACTTTTTGAAGCACTGATTTTTTTTCCAGTAATGTTTTTTGTATTTTGTTTTTAATTAAATTTTTGTGTGCTTTTTCCAGCAGTTTGTTTTAACAAATGTTTTATAGAAATTTAGTATTTTGCAGTGTTTATTTTGTTTCCAGTATTGTTTTGCTTCCACAGTGTATTTGTTCCCACAATATTTATTCTGTTCCCACAGTGTATGGTGAAGGCAGACGACCAGCTTGCTTACTGTCAATGAGAGACTCCCCTCGCACCACAGTCACTATCACAACCACCTCCTCCTCCCCCTCCATGAGGCAGCCAGATCCCTATGATCTACATGATACCCTGGCCTCCATGAATGACAGTTCCCTCTACTGTCATGTGTCTGCCCAGTCTCCCCTCACACCCACCTCGATGCCCACACCGGCACCCACACATGTCAGGAACGGCTCTGGGGATTACCAAGGACAGCAGAATGACAGAGACCTCAAGTACTTCTCCTCAGAGGACAGTGGCCTGGTGAGTACAATATACAATTCTCATTCAACATGCTACAGCAGATATCAGAAATATTGCTAGAATGAAAATAGAAGTTTGAAAAAGCTGAACAGTTTCCTTTTATATGTGCTGAAACCTCCGGGTTGCAATGTGAGCCTGTGTACTGATATCATGAGCACTCTGGTTGACAGGCCTGACCTGGCCCTGCAGCCTCTCTGCTGGGGTGGAAGAACCCTTGAAATGGGTCACAGGTAAAGCACAGGTAAAATATACCTATAAATAATCCCCCATACATTCAGAATTATTTACTGGAGACCTGTAGAAATGTTGAATAATAAAAATCCACTAATTTAGAATAATAACTCAGATTTGAAGAGCATGTTGACTACCTAAAAAATAAAAATGTTTGTGGTGTCAGTTTACTTTTTATGAATTTAGTTGAATACACAGGTAACCCACACATAGAAGAGAGGAGCTTATGACAATGTTTCGATCTGATTTGGACCATTTAACATAATATAAGAATGGAGAAACACTGCAGAAGGCCTACTGGCCCATACAAGGCAGGTCCTTATCAAAACGACCTCTACCCAAAGCAACCCAAAAATTAACTCCCGTACCCAATGACACCAATCAAACCCGGCCCTTCCCACTCATATATTTGTCCAATCTCTTCTTAAAGCTACCCAAGGTCCTAGCCTCTATTGCCCTACTGGGAAGATTGTTCCACGCATCCACAACTGTTAGAAAACCAGTACTTACCTATGTCCTTTCTAAATCTAAATTTCTCCAACTTAAATCCATTATTTCTGGTTCTTACCTGGTTCGACACCCTCAGTACTTTATTAATATCTCCTTTGTTTATGCCCGTCATCCACTTATACACTTCAGTGATATCATCCCTCATTCTACGTCTCTATCTTCATATGGGAGATTTCTTACACAGTAAATCATTTTAGTCATTCTTCTCTGTATGTTCTCTAATGAGTCTATATCCATCCTGTAGTAAGGAGACCAAAACTGAGCAGCATAATCTAAATGAGGCCTCACTAGTGATGTATAGAGCTGTAAAATAACTTTTGGACTTCTGTTACTTATACTTCTTAAGATAAATCGAAGTACATGTATTCTGTTAGCCTTGTTGCACACACTTAGGCACTGCTGTCTTGGCTTCAGGTGTCTGCTTACCATGACTCCCAAGTCTTTTTCACATTCTGTATGATCAAGCTCTACTTCACCTAGTTTATAGCTTCGATGGTTATTTTCATTACCAAGGACTAGTACCTTACACTTATCCACATTGAACTTCATCTGCCATTTTTCAGACCAAGACATTAATTTGTCCAAATCCTCCTGGAGTTCATTGCTGTCCTCCTCAGAATGAATCATATGGCCTATCTTTGTATCATCACAGTCACACTGTGACTTTGTAAATGGTCCAAGTCAGATTGAAACGTCGTCATAAGCTCCTTTCTTCTATGTGTGGGTTATTTGTGTATTGTTCCAGTCACGGTAATGTGCCTGTTTTTGTCAATTTAGTTGAATTTCTGTAATGAAATGTATTTACAAAAGTAATATTAGGGGAGTCTGTATTTTAAGTACAGTTTGGGGTATTATTCTCTTGGTTTATGTACGATTTTTTGTACATGTCCACTGTGTGTAGCCTATTTCAGAAAGTTTTTGTGAGAAACAATAGGTGTTATTGCCAAAAGTCTGTTTATAAATTTTTGTTTCAGAGTAATAAGGTTTAATATCTTAAACTGCTTATATACTTGGACTTCAGGATTATTGTATTGTGCCTTTTCATAAATGTTCATGTGTACATTTTGCCAAATTTTGTACTGAATTCAGGGACTATCACAGTCATACCTCGTTTCTGTTAATTCACTGTGTAAATATCAACATTTGTACTATAGTTCTTAAATATTTGATTTGGTACAGTATCTCATATTAATATGGACAGTGCATATATGGCTAGAACTGTAACTGGTTTGTACTATAGCACTATTTAATCAAATGCAAGTGTACTATAGTTTAAAATGTTTTTCTTTTTTAAATAGGGAAGTCAGGATGGCACATGCTTGAATCGCATTGGGGTGAGTGGCCAAAGACGTACTGTACGAGGCCCGGGTGGCAAGAAAATTCCTCCGGAGGTACCACGTCGCACATCTTCTATTAAGTCTTGCGAGAGTAGTGGAAGTAATGACAGGTTAGTAATTTAGGCATGGGGAGAAATTTAGAGTTCCCGGCAGTGCTTTCCTTGATCATAAAGTTGTTCAATAGTCAGAGTACAGAAGTTGAGTACAGAAACTTAGGGCAGCTCTGCTCTTTCTCTGCTTCTTTGTACATCTAAGTGTAAAAGAAAATGAGAGCAAGTATCACCAGTATTAACTACTAACCATATTTGTAGCTATTAAATCTATTGATCTGTTACATCAAATGTCTCTCTTGGTAAAATTACACATTTAAATTTAATTTATTTATACCCTCCAAACTTGCATGTTTTGTTTCAATTGACAATTTAAATGCAATAAAATTTGAAGTGATGCCACAATGTGTCAAGATAAAATCCCAAATTGTGGTACATGCTCCTGGATTCAGCACCTCATTGAAGTGATAATGTTTTATTTCTTTGAGCTATACAGATAATATAGATACATTGCTCAAAAGAAAGCTACTAATTGTGCCAGGGGTAAAATTTTATTTTAATAGGTTAAAATGTTTTGGCTGGGCATCATTGGTGTTTCTAACCATTTATGATTAAAAAATGGTGATGTATCTAAAAGCATAAATATTATAATTTTTTATATAAGCCTTTTGCATTGCTGAAAGTTAAAATGTCGGTAATATTCCACCTATATTATTGTTCTACAAATACTATGCACCTTCAGAATGATGAATCAAAGCTTCTTTGTTTCCAATACATCATAACCTTTATGATGATCAAAATAGAAAGTCGAATACAAAGTTGCCTTTCATTAATGGGAATTATATTTTATTTAAGATTCTGCTACCTTTATCTTGTTAAAATTAAGAATGAGGTTTCTTGAGTGTAGCTGTACACTATTTATATATTATGTTGATTCCACAAACTATTTTTTGGATGTTTGTAATATATCAAGAGCAATGTTACAACACTATCAATGCCTAACCGCAGAGTCCAGTGCCATATCCCATCCCTAACACCTCCATCCTCAACTCCTTCGTCACTCACTTCGGAGGGAGGTCAAAGTGACAGAGGACCACTCACAAGGTTATGACATGCCTTTATTACTTAGCTCTTAAATGTGCTTAGTCAGGTTGTAAGAGAAGTAAATGTTAGTATGTTTGAGAGAGAGAGAGAGAGAGAGAGAGAGAGAGAGAGAAGGGGGGGGGGGAGTGGGGCAATCCTATAAAGCAGACTCATATTTCACTTAAGGTTTCCTTTTGCTTTCTCTCTTTAGCCGAGGAATGATAAAATTAATAGTGTTAATATTAAAGATTTAGTTAAAATAGTGAAATAAAGGCTGTTGAGATAATCTAGTTTAAAAAATGAAGCAAAATATGTTAGTAAAGATGGCATATGTATACATTTAACGTGGGCAGAAGGTTGTGTAGGGTGTCTGAAGCAGAACTAACAGCATCAGTGTAAAAGAATGGATGAGTAGTGGCTTGGACTAAGCAGGCATATAAAAGTATGTTTAGACTGGAATGAGTAGAGATGAACATTTTACAGAATTTGTCATGCTTTTGAAGAGTCAGCAAGGTGATATCAATGAATGGACTCTGGGAAACTAGCTAAACATAGTGAAAGAATGAATGGTATATTTATACAGGCAATCAATTTAGGTAAATAAACACATTGTAGTGGTGCTGGACACATCAGAACAAAAAATAATAGTTGTAAGGAATTGTCTGGAAACTTCTCTCATGTTAATCACAAACATAAATCATTTAAGACAGAGGCACTTTTAACATCACATTGGTATTAGCAAGAATCATCTTAAGACTGCTAACACTTAATATGTTTCACCTCGCTTGTTGTATATATATAATATACTCCCTTTCTGTCCTGGTATGTAAGAGTACATTGAGGCTTAATAAATCTCTAGGTAATCAATATGTACTCTAAATAAAATATCCAAACGTTATAAATGTGTCCATTTACTAAAATAGCTAGAAAGGTACAATACATGCATTCTGGAAAATGAGTGGGGAGGTTTTAGGCTCAGTGGGACAACTTCAGGCTGTAGCATCTGTGCCCTTATTGAGAGGCAGCCTGTGAGAGCGAGACAGTGAATGGTTTTCTTAGTCACTCTGCTTAGGTAGGACATTACATTGATTTATATATACTGTATGTATATAATATAAATATATATATATATATATATATTTAGTACAGTATCTATGAATTACTGAGTTTGAAACTTTGGTGCATCATTCTCAAATATTTAATTTATCAAACTACTTTATGTAAATTCCCAGTGTATATAAATCATTTAATTAAATACAGTACTGTATAAAGTATTTGTATTTTAATTAGTGCCTTAGATATTAAATGGTACTGAAGTCCTCTTGTATTTGTAGGGAATTTAAACAAAATTATATATGCAGTTAATTATATATAGAAATTTTTTCATTTTTTTTGAAATAGGTCTGTGGATAATGGATCCTTATCCAGTGTACAGTCCTCGGGGTCAGACTCCTCACTCTCTCAGTCTGCCTCAGATCGTGCTACTCCTCTATCTACCCATGACCAAATGGATAACACAGATTACCATCCCACATCACCAATATGGAAACGCAAAAATCAAGTAAGTCATTACAGCTACAGCAAGCTGTATACTACAGGTATTATGAATCTGGATGTCTTATATCTTGGATTTGTAATGTTATTTGTAAGACTTTCGTATTTAAAGCTTTGTGAACTGCTATATATTTACCTTGCTGCATCTCTTATTAGTATTTTCTTTTAGACTGAATTTGTTGCTCTTTTTATCATATACTGTATACTTTAATAAACATGTTATAATTGCAACAAAGATTACTCTTATCTATATTTAAAATGCATCTAGTAAATACGTACAAGTCACCTGCATCGTTTGTAGTTAGCTTTTGTGCATCCATTATTTGTTTTTTTGTTTCTAGTATGAAAGAATGCCAGCTTTAGATTCATAGTTAATAAATTGACAGTGAGTTTAGCCTTTTCTCCACCAGCTTCATTTAATGTCTGAGTTTTCCTCTGAGGCTCCTTAGATTGTAAGTAAGTATAATTAAAGTCCCCAAAATTAAAAAAAGCTTGACACTTCCACCAGCAGATGAGCACAAGTGACGTCATCTGCGACGATAAGCGGTTGAGCCAGATCAGCGAAAACTCAGAAGATTCCCTGCAGTCCCATTCCTCTGAGGGAATGACCTATTCCCAAACCATTCCCTCACAGACCCCACACTCAGCACGCTACGCCCATGCTCACTACACCCACACTCCTCACATGCCCAAGGTAGAGTAGACTTCTATTTTTGTTGATACAGTATTACATAAGGATACAGATGCTCCATTTTTCCAGAAATTCATTTTTAGAAACTTGATTATTCTGGAATGCATTGCATGTCAGATATGCAATGTTTTATGATAAGAGTAAGTTTATTTTTAAGCATGAAAAATGAAAAATGTGGCTATACAAGTGGGGAAACTGAAGAAAAAATGGGGAACCTTTGCTGTTTCCATTAGGGTCACTCAAGATGGTGGCAGTCAGGTAAATTATACCCTCAGCATTGTATCAAACAGTGAAAAATTTAGATGGTAAATTTTTATGGTAGTATTTTACTAGATATGTTGATTATTATTATTATTATAATCAAAGGGGAAGCGCTAAACCCGGAGGATTATACAGCGCCTGGGGGGGGGGGATGTGGAAGGCATTCAGGCTTAATTCGGGAACTGGAGCACAGATCCAATTCCCTAAATCAAGAGCCCCTCACCAACATCAAGGAACCTTCCTTGAGGGGATAGATATGTTGAACATCCAGCAGGTGTCTGTGTGAGCCTGTTAAAGAGGAGTGAGTGGTGGCAGGTGGTTTTTTGACTTAATGTGCTGTTTGAGTGTGGGCAAAGTAACATTTATGAAATGATTCAGTGAGACTGGTTAACCAGACTTGAGTGCTGGACATGGGAAGTGGTTCCTACATTCTGAAGGAGGGATGGGGATATTGCAGTTTGGAGGGGCATCTGAACTGTGGTATTGGTGCACCTCTGGAAAGACAGTGATGGAGTGAGTGATGGTGAAAGTGTTCTTGTTTTTCGGGTCACCCTGCCTTGGTGGGAGATGGCTGGTGGGTTAAAAACAAAAAGTATTCTAAATGGAGTAATATTCTACTTTGATATTGGTATAATTGGTACAGTACCATGTTTTACTTAAATTTTAAAAATTACTAGTAATTTTTGCTAACTATAAGGGCTCCAACTAAATATAGTAGGTGTGAAAAGAAATAAAATTACTGGTTTCCCATATCTTTATCATCTTCACTTTGATTTGGGGACCTCATTTCTACCACTAATTCATTATATGTGGTGTAAATTCCTTCTTATGCAATCACACACAGTACCACTTAATTTTTTAACAACATTCTTTAAATATCATTAAACTGGGATATAATGATATGATGTAGGTAGTAGGTTTGTAGACCAACCGCCCAGGGAGGTACTACCGTCCTGCCAAGTGAGTGTAAAACGAAAGCCTGTAATTGTTTTACATGATGGTAGGATTGCTGGTGTCCATTTTTCTGTCTCATAAACATGCAAGGTTTCAGGTACATCTTGCTACTTCTACTTACACTTAGGTCACACTACACATACATGTATACAAGCATATATATATACACACCCCTCTGGGTTTTCTTCTATTTTCTTATTAGTTCTTGTTCTTGTTTATTTCCTCTTATCTCCATGGGGAAGTGGAACAGAATTCTTCCTCCGTAAGCCATGCGTGTTGTAAGAGGCGACTAAATTGCCAGGAGCAAGGGACTAGTAACCCCTTCTCCTGTATAAATTACTAAATTTAAGAAGAGAATCATTCGTTTTTCGTTTTGGGCCACCCTGCCTTGGTGGGATATGGCCGGTTTGTTGAAAAAAAAAATATGACAGAAATAAGATAAAGAAATCAAATTTCGGCCTTGGGAAAACCATTGTGCACATTTTAAACAAAATCCTATTGCAGGTTTTCAATTGAAGAATCTTGCATCATCAAAAGAAAAATGACACATAGGTTAGCTGGCACCAGTGCAATCTAATGGTTATAATAGTAATTTTTAAAGGAGTGGACTAGTAAACCAGTGGAAGGCCTCAGTCAGATGACCAAAATCTCCAGCTCAGGTCACATGACTAAGTCCCACGTCAGTAAACACTTGTCCTGTTTCCTAACAAACCTTGCCTAACCTAACCTTGGAACTTCTTGTTTTTTATATACACTGGGCTGGTTTTATGCAATTTCACTATATGTGCTATAGCCAGAAGCAATTTTATCACATAAAGTGAGGGATACCTTTATTTATGTTCTTTGAGAATATTTTTTGTTAAGCTCTAATTGTTTTGAGTAGGTTTATGGCTTTTAAGTACTTTTTAAGTTGCCTTATTTCAGTCAAGAGAATTTTAGGTAATTTAAGTACAGTTCAGTAATTCAAGGTTACACACGTTCCATATTCTACATACGTCTTTGAACAGTTTGTATACTATAATTATGCTTATCTTCTTTTTTCCAACAAACCAGCCATATCCCACCAAGGCAGGGTGGCCCAAAAAAGAAAAATGAATGTTTCTCTTTAAATTTAGTAATATATGGGCTAGTGCAAAGATGAGTAGTGGGGGGGTTGAAGAGGGTTGGAATAGTTTTAAAAATGCAGTATTAGAATGTGGGGCAGAAGTTTGTGGTTATAGGAGGGTGGGGGCAGGAGGAAAGAGGAGTGATTGGTGGAATGATGAAGTAAAGGGTGTGATAAAAGAGAAAAAGGTAGCTTATGAGAGGTTTTTACAAAGCAGAAGTGTTATAAGAAGAGCAGAGTATATGGAGAGTAAAAGAAAGGTGAAGAGAGTGGTGAGAGAGTGCAAAAGGAGAGCAGATGAAAGAGTGGGAGAGGCACTGTCAAGAAATTTTAATGAAAATAAGAAAAAATTTTGGAGTGAGTTAAACAAGTTAAGAAAGCCTAGGGAAAGTATGGATTTGTCCGTTAAAAACAGAGTAGGGGAGTTAGTAGATGGGGAGAGGGAGGTATTAGGTAGATGGCGAGAATATTTTTAGGAACTTTTAAATGTTAAGGAAGAAACAGAGGCAGTAATTTCATGCACTGGTCAGGGAGGTTATACCATCTTTTAGGAGTGAAGAAGAGCAGAATGTAAGTGTGGGGGAGGTACGTGAGGCATTACGTAAAATGAAAGGGGGTAAAGCAGCTGGAACTGATGGGATCATGACAGAAATGTTAAAAGCAGGGGGGGATATAGTGTTGGAGTGGTTGGTACTTTTGTTTAATAAATGTATGAAAGAGGGGAAGGTACCTAGGGATTGGCAGAGAGCATGTATAGTCCCTTTATATAAAGGGAAAGGGGACAAAAGAGACTGTAAAAATTATAGAGGAATAAGCTTACTGAGTATACCAGGAAAAGTGTACGGTAGGGTTATAATTGAAAGAATTAGAGGTAAGACAGAATGTAGGATTGCGGATGAGCAAGGAGGTTTTAGAGTGGGTAGGGGATGTGTAGATCAGGTGTTTACATTGAAGCATATATGTGAACAGTATTTAGATAAAGATAGGGAAGTTTTTATTGCATTTATGGATTTAGAAAAGGCATATGATAGAGTGGATAGAGGAGCAATGTGGCAGATTTTGCAAGTATATGGAATAGGTGGTAAGTTATTAAATGCTGTAAAGAGTTTTTATGAGGATAGTGAGGCTCAGGTTAAGGTGTGTAGAAGAGAGGGAGACTACTTCCCGGTAAAAGTAGGTCTTAGACAGGGATGTGTAATGTCACCATGGTTGTTTAATATATTTATAGATGGGGTTGTAAAGGAAGTAAATGCTAGGGTGTTTGGGAGAGGGGTGGGATTAAATTATGGGGAATCAAATTCAAAATGGGAATTGACACAGTTACTTTTTGCTGATGATACTGTGCTTATGGGAGATTCTAAAGAAAAATTGCAAAGGTTAGTGGATGAGTTTGGGAATGTGTGTAAAGGTAGAAAGTTGAAAGTGAACATAGAAAAGAGTAAGGTGATGAGGGTGTCAAATGATTTAGATAAAGAAAAATTGGATATCAAATTGGGGAGGAGGAGTATGGAAGAAGTGAATGTTTTCAGATACTTGGGAGTTGACGTGTCGGCGGATGGATTTATGAAGGATGAGGTTAATCATAGAATTGATGAGGGAAAAAAGGTGAGTGGTGCGTTGAGGTATATGTGGAGTCAAAAAACGTTATCTATGGAGGCAAAGAAGGGAATGTATGAAAGTATAGTAGTACCAACACTCTTATATGGATGTGAAGCTTGGGTGGTAAATGCAGCAGCGAGGAGACGGTTGGAGGCATTTGGAGATGTCCTGTCTAAGGGCAATGTGTGGTGTAAATATTATGCAGAAAATTCGGAGTGTGGAAATTAGGAGAAGGTGTGGAGTTAATAAAAGCATTAGTCAGAGGGCAGAAGAGGGGTTGTTGAGGTGGTTTGGTCATTTAGAGAGAATGGATCAAAGTAGAATGACATGGAAAGCATATAAATCTATAGGGGAAGGAAAGAGGGGTAGGGGTCGTCCTCGAAAGGGTTGGAAAGAGGGGGTAAAGGAGGTTTTGTGGGCGAGGGGCTTGGACTTCCAGCAAGCGTGCATGAGCGTGTTAGATAGGAGTGAATGGAGACGAATGATACTTGGGACCTGACGATCTGTTGGAGTGTGAGCAGGGTAATATTTAGTGAAGGGATTCAGGGAAACCGGTTATTTTCTTATAGTCGGACTTGAGTCCTGGAAATGGGAAGTACAATGCCTGCACTTTAAAGGAGGGGTTTGGGATATTGGCAGTTTGGAGGGATGTGTTGTGTATCTTTATACGTATATGCTTCTAATGTGTGAGTGTGGTGAAAGTGTTGAATGATGATGAGAGTATTTTCTTTTTGGGGATTTTCTTTCTTTTTTGGGTCACCCTGCCTCGGTGGGAGACGACCAACTTGTTGAAAAAAAAAAAAATAATACAGAAGAGATACTAGCCCCTTGCTCCCGGCATTTTAGTTGCCTTTTACGACACGCATGGCTTACGGAGGAAGAATTCTGTTCAACTGTTTCCACTTGTAAATATATATAATTGTTGTATTAATTTATATGAGGAATTTAGTACTGTATATAAACTAAATTTAAAAAGAGAAACTTTCGTTTTTCCTTTTGGGCCACCCCACCTCAGTGGGATATGGCTGGTGTGTTGAAAGAAGAATATAAATTAAATATACATACAGGAACAACAATATTTGTGTTACATTAATAGTGTTCATACAGTTATTTTGTGTATACATGGAATTATGAATAATATATTTAAAAGCTAATTTTCAAGCAATACTGATACCGTGCCTCACAATAGTCCAGCTTGATTCATTGCTGGGGAACCCCTATAACCTATGGTGCCCCTTTCTTCGATGGTGGACTGTCGAGTGGGCTGTCAGACTATACGTAACATGGTTGCCACAGAAGACCAATTTCAAAATTACCTGACAGTTACAATTTTCCCAACTGCTTCACTACTTAGCAGCCTCCAACCTTCTCTCACAGCAGCCCAGTCCTTTCACAGTGTCTTACATACAGTAGAGCAGGATGTTCAGTATTCATAAAATTCACCCTGCCTTGGTGGGATATGGCTGGTTTGTTGAAAGAATTCATAAACTCAAATTAAAGTGGACACAAGAATTTACATTATTTTTTTACAACTGTCACTTTGCTATAACTTATATTCTTGAATTATAACAAAAATGTTATTCTAAAAAAATGACTTGAACAGAAATACTGCATCATACTGATTCATATTAGTGAGCAACTATAATTATGTTGTTTACAGAACCTGTAGCTTAGTAAAAAATGAAAGAAAAATACAATTTCAGTAGAATAACATGAATGCTACAAATGTTCAAACATTATGGATACTGTGATCAGTTTGTTTTAACTTTCTTTTTCTTCAATTTCAGTCTCTCTCTCTCTGGCTGTCTCTGCAAGTTTCCTTTCTTTTTTTGGCTTTCTTCCTCAGAGGATTAGGATCCATTCATGCTTGTTCTCAGCTTCTTAAGAGTTTATCATTTTTTTCTAGCAACTTGGTCACTTAATTCTCTCTTTTGCCTTTCTGCATTCATTTAGTAAGATACTGTACTAATAAATCAGCTGTCCCAGGGGTATGAGCAGGAACAGGGTATTCTGAGAAGAAAAATCTTTAGTCAAATTACCAATTATATATTTGGCTGTCCATTTCACATGGTAAAATTGACTAGTCAGTTTTTTTTCCTCCCCCTGACAAATTTCAAAACCAAAATCTCCTGACTAAATTTAATTCCTTGACTTTGGAAAATGAACCATTCTCTGACATATAACAACCATGTATCAAGAGCTTAGACAAAATAAAAAAGTACCAAATTATTGGGGGGGAGAAGTATTGTATAATTATATACCAATAGATGAAGCATATCTGTAAAATCAGTTAAAATACAATGAACCTTTACAGATTAATGGAGGGGACCAGGATTTACGTTATTGCCAATTGTCCACAGATTCATGAAAAATATATTTTTCATGATTTTAACGTAAATGGACAAAGTCTGGAATCAGCAGACTTGGTCCATTGATTCAGAAGACTACTGGACACTTAAAAATATTGTAACCTGATAAACAGTATAGTACTATACAGGAATTGTAAATAAAATGAAGCTGAAAATACAATAGTACTGTAATGTACAATAGAGGATAGTATACTAATTTTACAGTAATTTGCTTACCATACTTATTGTAGTGGAAAGATGATGTGTAAAGTGCAGGGAGGGGTAATGGTGATACAGAATAACATTTATTCTGAGTCAGAGGAGCTCTAAAGCTCCACTAGAGAAACTGTACATGGCTACTATTTACAATAAACATAGGAGCATAGCCTGTAAGTTTGCCCTTGCTTCTGTGGACATCAGACACTTTTTTTTAACACCATATTCCTCGCATACCCATGCCACAGACACACCAGACTTAGCCTTCCTTTTTAGTTCAAGTTCCTGCTTAACACTGAGACTTTCACATTTCCTCTTGGTACCACCACTTGCATTAGAAGCCATTGTTCATTGCAAATACTTAATATGTTAGTATAATCACACAAACACTGTAAATCTAGGGAAAATTGGAGACTGAATGGCAGGGGCTTGTGTGAGGAAGCACAGACAATAAACTGACATGGGCAGCCTATGGCTTGAGGAATGATGAAAACAGACAGGTCCTGGATGAGCACACTAACCTTTACCAGATAAATATCATTATCATTGATCATGGTCTATTGCTTCAAAAGACTGCTGGTCAGTAGTATTGTAGACAAAATCCGTATTCTATGGACTTTTTCCATTTTGTCTGATTCTGTTTCCCTGGCCAATTTTTTTTTTTTTGTCCTTAGTATTCTAATTGCATTAAATGGGGGGTCTGTTAACTCAGTTTTACTGTACTGGAATATGAACATTCTGCATGTGGATGTTTGTTAACAGGAGTTTCAAAGCTTTTTTTTTTTTCTCTATGGCATTCTGTAGAATGAGCATGCTGAAGCTTTAAAAACAAGTTACAGCCCACAGCTTAAATAGGAACAAAAAATTAAGAGGTATGGTGTAATGAACGGCTGTCAGTGAATAAACAGAGTGGACGGAGACTTGAACCATGGTCCATGCATGTAGCAGGCTCAGCTCTGTACCACAGTTTGAGTCCCACGTTCATTCCTCTTTTTATTCAGTGATGGCTGTTCATCATGACTTATCATGGGTTTATAGACTGTATACCTTTGAGGGGTATGAGAATAGATGTGCCATGAAAAGCTGTGGGAATGTGGGATGAAACAGTAGCATCACAGTTGGTGGTGGCTACTGTTTGCATGGATCATGAAATGCTACATTTAACCCTTAAACTGTCCAAACATAGATCTACGTTCACTCGCGTAGCTCTGTGAATGTAGATCCACGTTTGTTTTACATTCTTTCTTATGGAGAAAATCAAGGTCGGAGCGCTACGCGCGCATATGTAGATCTACGTTTGGACAGTTTAAGGGTTAATAAGTTTAGGGATTTAAACATTAGAACCTTGTAGCTCCCCTTTTTTTTCTATAGGGTTTTGTACATCGTAAAATACACTGTGGTTAGATATTAAATACATCCTTGATTATCCTAATGTAATTGACTCATGCAGTATCTGAATAGTATTCATTCTCACAGGTACCAGAGGTTGTAAGAAAGAGACAGTATCGAGTAGGTCTCAACTTATTTAACAAAAAACCAGAACGAGGTGTGACGTACCTAATAGGTCGTGGATTCCTTGTAAATTCTCCTCAAGCAGTAGCGAAATTCCTTCTAACTCGGAAGGGTCTGAGTAAACAAATGATTAGAGAATATCTTGGCAATCTTCAGAACAACTTTAACATGGCTGTTCTTGAGTGAGTATATGAATACTTTATTTATTTTATACATATAAGTACAGTACTTTTACAAGTTTATCATATTACTATTATATCTTGAGATTATAAAGTGCCTGGGAAGCAGGAGGCGATCAGGCACGATCCAAGGAAGGGGGGGAAGCCCATTTCCTTGAAAGAAGAGCCCCTCAGCATCAAGGAACCTCCCTTGAGGGGGATAAATTCATCATAATATGTAGAGGGAATTTACAAAATCATGAAGACACACGTGCAACATTTGGGTATCTTTATTGTGTTGCATGTGTGTGTTAAGCATCTACTTATTAGTTTTGTAAACCATTAATACAATACATTATCATTGTTTATAAAAAAAGAGCTCCTTAAATATAGGCTTAGTATTTACTTCTAGAGAATATGAATACACTACAATACTGGAGGTGGGAAGTACAGTGCTTCCACTCTGAAGGAGGGGTGAGGATATTTTCAGTTTTGAACTATAGTATTAGTGCCCCTCTGGCAAGACAGTCATGGAGAGTGATGGTGAAAGTGTTTTTTTTGGAGAGGGAGGCATCCTGCCTCAGTGGGAAATGGCCAATATATTAAAATAAAGAAAAAAAAAAGCCTACAGTACTGGAAAAACACATGTAGGAGGTTTGAAAGATTTTGAGCCCTTATGCATTATGTGCTTATGTTAAATAAAAAGATACATGTACATGTGTGTGTTCAAACATACCCGTGTCATTTGCAAAGATATTCTGCACACATATTGTACATTTATCTTGTATGTTACTATATGTTTTATTTATAAATACTTTGAAAGTGTGAGACTTATTCAGAATTCTTTTATTATTACAGGTGTTTTGCTCATGATATTGATTTATCTGGAATGCAAGTGGATGTTGCACTTAGAAAGTTCCAGACACATTTCCGTATGCCTGGGGAAGCTCAGAAAATTGAGCGCCTCATGCAGGTGTTTGCTCAACGATACTGTCAGTGTAATAGGGATATTGTAGCTAAACTAAGAGATCCTGAAACTATTTTTGTTTTGGCATTTGCCATCATTATGTTGAACACAGATCTTCACACTGCATCCATGAAGCAAGAAAAAAGAATGAAACTTGAAGACTTTGTTAAGAATTTAAGAGGTGAGTAAATAATATAGCTTGTAGATTTGAAAAAAAAATAGCTCTTAGCATATCTGTAATATATAGGCAGATGTGATAGATATATTAATGTGAGTAAACATGGTATGCAAATGTTTTGAGCTGCTCTAAAACTAACTTGACATGAACTAACCTTACTCATATTTAAATAACTATATACTGTATAGCTTAATTTTGCCTAATGTATGTAACGTAAGCCTAACTTGAGTAAAATTATTAATCAGTGAAATTATTTATCACTGAAATATGTTAATTTTGTGATAAGCAAACCCTTTGAGAGAGGCGCCTTGAAGCTGAAGGACTCTTGATCTGAGGAATTGGACCTCCCCTTCCCTTGGATCAAAACTCTCATTCCCCAGCCTTCGTATAACCCTTGTGAGTTTAGCACTTCTCCAGAATATAGTAATGTAATAAGACAAGTAGTGAATATACTTCTGACCACAACATTATAAGAAGTACAAACGAGTATAAATTCAGAGGTCGGGAACTCCAGCAATAATGTATGAGAAGGGACGTTCAGTAAATTTAACTTGAATGACCACAGAATTGACTGTGACAAAATTAACAAAGCACTATCTGACATATCTATCCTGGAAAACAGTCATGAGCACCCTAAGTCCTCACCAGTGCCTGGAAAAGTTGAACACAGAAACATACAAGATCTGTATAAAATATGTACCATTGAGGAAACCTAGAATGCTTGGTATTAAGTGAAATACCAGAGACCTGAAAGAGTCCAGACATTGGTCCTTTACATAAGGCAGGTAGTAGAGTGCTAGCCAGTACTAGTAGCCCTAACATCCCACATCATAAAAGTCTTGAAAGAATGATGCCAGATTTATAAAACAACACAATCTGCAACAGTTCTGAAACCATGCTGGAAGATCATGCTTGTCACAACTGCTCAACCACTCTGATAGAATTACAGGTGTTGGTAGAAAATCAAAATGCAGATGTGATGCACACAGATTTTGCAAAAGCATTTGACAAATGCAATCATGGGGTGATTGCACACAAAATGTGGGCCATAGGCATAATGGGGAAGGTAGGCAGATGGATTTTCAAGTTTCTAACATAGAACAACACAGAGGAGTAAACAGCAAAATTCAGCATAAGCAAAGTAAAAAGCTTGGTACTCCAAGGCACTGTCCTGGACAAGTATCTTTGCCAGGTGCCAGATCAGCCAGGCTGTCATGGATATGTGGGCCAGTGGACTGCCAGCAGCAATAGCTTTGTTCAGTGTGCTGCTGATCTATATATACTCCCTCCTCTCCTTTTCGTCAGTGTGACTTTATAAATGGTCCAAGTCAGACCGAAACGTCGTCGTAAGCTCCTCCCTTCTATGTGCGGGATATTTGTGTAACAGCTTGGTTGACCAGGCAAGGATCAGACAAGCCTGGCCTAGGGCTGGGCTCCAGTAGAAAAACTCTTGAAATGAATTAGTTATATCAAAAGAATATTTCTCTTTTTCTTGGGTCACTCCTAACCAAGTGGAAAATAGCCAATGAGGTTTTTTTTAACATATTGGCTGTAATACAGGAGCAGTATATTACAGTACTGTATAACAGATATGGTAAAAATATCTTATGATTCACTAAGGAATTCATTTATAACAATTCAAGGGGGGTGTTGATGCCCTAAAGTGCTTTATAACTCCTATGGTTTTAGTGCTTTCAAAAGAATATAATGATAATTTATGACGTTTAAGTGTTGTGCAGTTTTTACGTGGAAATAAAATGTGATTCTTAACAGGCATTGATGATGGTTATGACATTGAACGTGAGATGTTGGAGGGAATGTATCAGCGTATCAAGGCACAAGAGTTTCGACCAGGTCATGATCACGTTACTCAAGTTTTAAAGGTAATTATACAAGTGTTTCGGCCATTTTCATAAATCTTAGTGTCTAAGTATATATTTGTTAAACCTTAATTTTACTTCAAAGGTTTATGACCAATGTTCCAAGTCAGTTATAACAATTTGTTCTACCATTGTAAGTTACTGGCAATTTTTTAATGGTGTCCAGGTTTGAGCACAAGCATTCAATGTCTTGTGAAGTAACAATGAGATAATTGTAAACAGCTCACCCAGTGGAAGGTTTGAACATATGGCAAGCCAGTGCTAACACTAGGAGGCCAGTGTGTTACTCTCTGTACTATGCTCTCATAAGTTGAATGGTACAGCAGCTAGAATACTGACCTGCTAGTTTTAGGACTGGTTTGCCATGTGGTTTGAACTCTGGTGAGTTGTGCATAACTGTCATAATTTTGCAGGTCATTCATAGTGGTTTTGAAGGGACTTAATAGAGCATGCCATAGCCTTGCTGGTGTGAGGTTCACCTGTAGAAATACACTTAGTTGGGCAAATCTTAAGTGACCAGTGTAGTACAGTGGGGACAGCTCACTGGTCTGCTAGTTGGAGGATTGGCTTGCCATTAATTTGGGCCTTCCATTAGGGAAGAATAAACACTTAGTGTAACAAACTAATCTTCTGTTTTAAAAAGTTTTAAAGAATATATGTTCTTGCTTTAAGTAGACTTCTTTCTTCTTTCAACAAAACCAGCCATATCCCACCGAGGCGGGGTGGCCCAAAAAGAAAAACAAAAGATTCCCTTTTCAAATTTAGTAATTTATACAGGAGAAGGGGTTACTAGCCCCTTGCTCCCGGCATTTTAGTCGCCTCTTAAATATGCATGGCTTGCAGAGGAAGAATTCTGTTCCACTTCCCCATGGAGATATGAGGAAATAAACAGGAACAAGAACTAGAAAGAAAATAGAAAACCCAGAGGGGTATGTATATATATGCTTGTACATGTATGTGTAGTGTAACCTAAGTGTAAGTAGAAGTAGCAAGACATACCTGAAATCTTGCATGTTTATGAGACAGAAAAAAGGACACCAGTAATCCTACCATCAGGCTTTCATTTTACACTCGCTTGGCAGGACGGTAGTACCTCCCTGGGTGGTTGCTGTTTAAGTAGACTTATGGAACAGATTAGAAGGTCGTTATATAATGTAATTTTCAGGTTTTGTAAGTTTTCTTACATGCAGTTAGTGATAAATTGTTCCAGTACATACCATATAGTAACACTCCAACCTAATTTGGATATAGAAAGTTATGAAATTACAGATATTTATTATTCTTCAGGTGCAACAGACTATGGTAGGCAAAAAGCCAAATTTGGCTCTACCTCATCGTCGACTTGTATGTTACTGTCGACTGTATGAGATTCCTGATATAACCAAGAAGGAGAGGGTTGGAGTTCACCAGCGAGAAGTCTTCCTTTTCAATGACCTTCTGGTTGTAACCAAGATTTTCTCAAAGAAGAAAAGTTCTGTAACTTACACATTTAGGCAGAGTTTTCCTCTAGCTGGTCTTGCAGTTTCCACTAAGGAAGTGCCACGTAAGTTGTGACCAAGTTTTTTATGGTTTAACACTAAATGACATTACTGAATAATTTATTTTAAATTTATGTAATTCAATAACCTATAGAGGAATTTAATATCTAATTTTCAGATTACCCTTATTTAATGGAAATTCGACACCGTGTGGATAATAAGGTATTAATAATTTTTAATGCCCGCAATGAACACGATCGCACCAAATTTTGTGAAGACTTAAAGGAAAGTGTGTGTGAAATGGACGAGATGGAATCTCTGAGAATTGAAGGAGAACTGGAGAGACAGAAGGCTTCACTGCGAACATCTAGACCAAGTTCTACAGCTGAGAACAGAGACTCTGGAGTAGCTGATATGGAATTGCTAACAACTAGTGAGAAGAATGGAACTCTTAAACCTGATTCTACTTTAAAGAGATCAGCTCTTAGCAATTCCCTACTGGATATCCATGAAGCTGGTAAGTTAAATCATTGTTATACAGGACTATTCCAAATACAGTAAATCCTTGAAGAATAATCTTTCATTCAAGCCAGTCTTGTCACATTTCTCGTGAATTTCTAAAAAATCTAAAAGGTAACTTTGCGTCATTAGTGCTGTTCATCTATTTGTAGTGCACTGTATTTTTATTTTTTGTCAGAACTGAAAAAAAGCATTTTCCTACATTATTTGTAAATGTTGGCAACATTACCATTAATTAAATTCATGATTAATAATCTTAGGCACTTACTGTAGCTTGGATTTGGTTTTTAGATAGGATACTTGTATATGAGACAATACTGAGTGCTAAAAAAAGCAAAAATATACTTCTGAAAAGTTTATCTTATTTTCATTCTTTACATCTCCACTGCTGCCTCTGTCTTATCACCACTCTAACTGAATGTGTGTTGGGGTGGGAGGTTGATAAGAGCATTTAGTAGGCACATGTTAGCAAAGTTGCACAAGTGAGTAGAGAATTGTTATTAATTTATTAACCTTATTGTGTGAGCATAAGTGCAATGTTTTAAGATTTTTTTTGATAAGACTTATACAGTACATAGTATGAAGAAAGGTATAGAACATCTTAGTATAAAATGTCTTTGAATTTAATGACAGAATAATAAGCTTAGACTCATTCTTGTCTCCAAGTATTCACAGGTGAAACCTAGGGTTTGTAACAAAGAATTAAATGAGAATGTTGCCCAGAACTTATTATTGGTTAAAAAATCAATGCAGCAATAAGTTTTGCTGTCATTCAGTATAGCTATTAAACATATTTGGTTAATTTATAGCTTTTAAGAATTTTTGCTCCCAATGCACCTGTACTGCTCACCCCCCTTCACCACAGCCATGTTACCTCTGCACCCACCCAGTGTAATGTATGTAGCTTAACCTTCACAGCAGATGCATATGCAAAGTAGAATTTTCACATCCTGATCACAATTGCACAGCTTTGTATTTATAATTTTGTACAGTATTTGCTAAAATTCATTGAATTGAAAAGCATTTACTGAATATTTAGTATTCTCGAATACTTCAGTGTTGAGAATAATCACGACAGTTTGACAGTGTTATTGAGCATTTTAGCTTTGGTGTGCAATTGCATTTAAGAAATTTAAAGCTTCAACCAGTTCGACTTCAATTTTGTGGTGGTGTAAGTGGTGGTGTGGTTCACAGAGGGTGTTGGGCAGACAGTGCGTCGGGGCAGTGTGGGCTCGCTCGACTCTGGCATGTCTGTGTCCTTCCAGTCCACTAGTGCCTCCAATGATACTTCTCCTGCGAATGGTCCTTCTGGGGGTGTTCAACCCTTCGTGTCTAGTGCCTCCCATGGAGACCTCCAGCATCATCTACAACGACGTACAGTGACGCCTAATTCTTCCTTCCTTGGTCAATTGTTTCGTCCACGTAGAATCTCTCGAACTGAACTGAGTACAGCTGGAGTGGAGGTGTGACAGTTACACAAGCAACCTCATTTTTTCATCTTCCACACAAGGAATAGATGATTTTGGGCAAAGTCAGGTTGTATTTAGCCATATTCTAGTCTTTCAAGTGTGTACACAATGCATTCCAAATGGATCAGAGTGAAGATGAAGCTGCCCAGACCATCTGTTCTGTAACTAGCCCTGCGTACCTCATACCATGTATGTGTGCAAAGGCATTGGTACTTATGTAAGTAGTAGCAAAGGTTAAAACCAAACAAATTATACAGTGCCATTTAGTCAGATGTAGTCACATATAATCTTGTGTAAAATATGATGTATATAAGTCATGTTGAAATAATGTATAATATATACCTAATCCCAGTTAATGAATATAACTCAGAAATGAGACTTCTTGTCTACAGGCATTTTAGCATAGCAACTGCTAGTCTAAAGATATCAGGATTTCAAAGATATCCAGAAGATAGGTATAATTTTATTCAGTGTAATGTGTGCACAACAGTTAATACAAATAGCAAGGTACAGTTTAGTTTAATATAAACTGTATACTTCCCTGTGGAATTGACCTCTAGTCAGCACACAGATCATTCTGTCATATATATATATCTGATGCTTCTAGGCAGATTGTTGACCTGGCTTAATTTTGTGCAGTGTACCAGATACTGATATTACCATAAAACAAACACTTATAACTTTGTACATAGGGGATATATTGTTATAATTTTGTCAGCTTGATAATACAGGCTGTCTTTCTATGACAAATAAAGATTATGATGACAATTCTTTTATTAACCTTTCTGACTTGTTAGGGATGTCACACAAATAACTCGCACATTGGAGAGAGGCGCTCCTGATGGCGTTTCGGTCTAACTTGAACTCTCTAAATGGTCCAAGTCGGACCGAAACATCATAAGCTGCTCTCTCCTAGGCTTGGATTATCTATATATTTTTCCAGTCACGGTATTGTACCTTTTTGTTTTTCATTAGGGATGTCTTTAGATGTTAAATGCACTCCACAAAAATATCTGCAAAATTGAATTCAGTTCTACAGTAAGAACAAACTGCATTCAGAAGAGGAAGTATATGATGTAGTCCATCCTGAACTACTGTAAAGTCACAACCAAGTGAGAAAATACTTGGTACTTCACAATGGTCCAGGACAGACTGAAATTTCCCTGTGAATTGTTTGATACACAGTATTTTCACCTAGTCTTCACAAACAAGCCCTCAAACTGCCAACACTGTTTTAATGGAAAGATATAAGCTATGGTCTTTTACCTCGGAGGAGGAACAGGGCAAGTTCCTCCTGCTCATCCATTGGTAAGGCTTCAAGAGTATTCATCTGTGCTAATCTTGCACGTTTGCTCTCTCTTGCTCGGTCACGTGCACGTCTTTTCCCACTGAAAGTAATATAGAATTTTGGGTTTTTTAAAGTTAAAATTTTTTTTCTAAAACCCCTTTTTTTGGGATTTTTTTTTTTAAAAAGCACTGAAAAAAAAAGACTTGGGATAAAACCAGCTGGGAGTGAAAATTTGACTAATAAAAACCAACCGGGGATCAATTCTCTTAGAAAGGAAATTGAAGAGAAGGGTCAAGGGTTACTGGACAGACAAATAGGGAAAGGGGAAAAGCACCCTAAAACGGAGATGCTCTCTGAATTTTTAGGTGGTGATAAGTGTGTTTAAAAGGGGAAACGGTAAAAAGAAAGATATTGGGGGAAGCGAAGACGTGCCGAAACAACCCCAGTACCCAACCCCTGAAAAAAGGACACGTACAATCATGTCTGTTTGGGGATTGGGATACGAAAAAACCAAAAAGATTTGAGCATAGAGAACAGATGGTCCAGCACCAAACCCTTTTTATAATCAAATAGAAACCAAGCCACAAGGGGTAACAGCGCTCCCCACAAAGCAAAGGGTTTTAAAAACAAGCCGCTAGGAGTGTGCACGGACCAAGGTAAAGTTAGTTTTCATGGACCATGCCCAAAATGTTTAAAGGGTCAAAGGGGAGAGATACACCTATGTTTTCTGCATGTCTAACTAGAAAATAGACGACGAGAGCCCCCCGGGTGCAGTGACCATGCAGTTCAAAAGGGGAAATGAAAGGAAAGTCAATGAGACAGAGTACAGGTTGGGAGGGAAAGAAAACTTTATAACCTAAAAGAAGACGGGAAAAAGAAAAGACAAAGAAAGCCCTGGTTCACCCAAGATGCGATGTAAAAAAAATGGAAAACTCATGGAACAAAGGGAAAACAAGAGAGAATTTCCATAAATGAATATCAAGGGTGGGGGGTGTCAATTTTTAGAATGACACTGCAAAACCCAAACCCAAAACACAGCTGCTCATAAAAAAAAAAGGCAGCTAATTCAACTGAAAAAAGGGGAAAGAAAAGTCATGGGGAAAAAGACATGTCTGCAAAATACTTAAAAATATTTTAAAGGGCTTTTCAGGGGAAATGAGCAATGTCAAAAAGCCCAGGGGAAATTAAAAAAGTACATCGGCAAGTACTGGACAATACACACACAACAGGGGTAGAGGTGTTGTGCCTTTGTTATTATCTGATATCTGTTAATGGTTCCAGGAATCAATGCTCCCGAGGCTCAAGTCTCAAACCAAACCTATGATGTGAAAATTCAAGAAAAGAATGATTCCCTTTACTTCACTTTCCATACAGTAGTAAATTTTAAAGGAGGGGACCAATGAATTCAACTCATGATTCTGTTCCCTCTCATACTGTTACAATATGAGAGAATGAAATATAAAGATATTTAAATGTAGCAACATATGAGAAATTGTTCCTGGTACTGGAATAAGTAAAACAAACTTGAATGCTAATCTGAAGCCTTTCACAGAGTATCATTAAGTTTTCTTTGCTGCATTAATATGCTTGTCCCACAACTTATTTAAAAACATAAATTCCATGATATACTCACCTAACCTTGGCTGTTTTTTCTTCAAACATGCTCTCTTCACTGTCACTCTCCTCAACACTATCGTCATCACTGCTTTCCTCTACTTTATCATTGTTGAAGTGTTTACCTGGGTCAGGCAATTTGTCAATGATTTTTTGAGTGGACTCATTATCATCATAGTCTTCATATTGCTGCTGCTCCTCTTTTTTATTTTCCTGGTTTTTAGTAAATTTTGTCTTTGCTTTTCTCCTTTTCAACCTATAAAAAATTGTGGAAAGAATAAAATTTTACTGTTTTTTATATATTAATAAAAAAAATAACACATCGGCAGTTTCCCAGCAAGGCAGGGTGGCCCGAAAAAAGCAAAACTTTCATCATTCACTTTCTTGCCACAGGCGCACTTACACTACAGTTATAAAACTGCAACATTAACACCCCTCCTCCAGAGTGCAGCACTGTACTTCCCATCTCCAGGAATCAAGTCCGGCCTGCCGGTTTCCCTGAATCCCTTCATAAATGTTACCTTGCTTACTCTCACCCTCCAATCTTCCATTACCTAATTTTTTTATCCTCATCACATTACTCTTTCCTATACAGTAGGGCCCTGCTGTACGGCATTTTGCCTTAGAGTGTTCCGCTAATACGGCGATTTCAAATTACTACCAAAACTCTCTGTGACTCCCTGTCTAATACGGCCCGTGCCACCCGGTTTGTTTACATTCTCTGTGAGCATCGCGTCTCTCCATTATGTTTGGAAACTTTCCAGAATTTCACGTTTTAAAGTTATTTCATATAAACTCTGATAATTATACTCGAGTGTACCTGTACCTAAGTAAACTTACATACTGTGCTGGTGTGCAGGTACACATTAAAATCACTAATAGTGTCTCATTAGCCTTGAAGATGCCATATTAATAATGATAATAACAACACACAATAATAATCAATCTGAGGTGCATTATATATCATGTAAAATGTTAATATAGACATTTTGCTTAATCCATCTACGATATTTTTTTAAAAATTATATAATGAACATGCTACGTAACATATAAACATGATAAATATACCCACAGTAGAATAAATTAACATAAATATGAGATGTTTTTCCAGGTGGCTTATGGGAGTGAACTAAAACTATACCTGTTTGCCTGGTTTGTTTACAAAACTTGCAACTCTCTCATGTACTCATTCTCTCTCTCGTTTATTACTGACCTTAAAATTTTTTTTTTTTATTATCACACCGGCCGATTCCCACCAAGGCAGGGTGGCCCGAAAAAGAAAAACTTTCACCATCATTCACTCCATCACTGTCTTGCCAGAAGGGTGCTTTACACTACAGTTTTTAAACTGCAACATTAACACCCCTCCTTCAGAGTGCAGGCACTGTACTTCCCATCTCCAGGACTCAAGTCCGGCCTGCCGGTTTTCCTGAATCCCTTCATAAATGTTACTTTGCTCACACTCCAACAGCACGTCAAGTATTAAAAACCATTTGTCTCCATTCACTCCTATCAAACACGCTCAAGCATGCCTGCTGGAAGTCCAAGCCCCTCGCACACAAAACCTCCTTTACCCCCTCCCTCCAACCCTTCCTAGGCCGACCCTACCCCGCCTTCCTTCCACTACAGACTGATACACTCTTGAAGTCTTCTGTTTCGCTCCATTCTCTCTACATGTCCGAACCACCTCAACAACCCTTCCTCAGCCCTCTGGACAACAGTTTTGGTAATCCCGCACCTCCTCCTAACTTCCAAACTACGAATTCTCTGCATTATATTCACACCACACATTGCCCTCAGACATGACATCTCCACTGCCTCCAGCCTTCTCCTCGCTGCAACATTCATCACCCACGCTTCACACCCATATAAGAGCGTTGGTAAAACTATACTCTCATACATTCCCCTCTTTGCCTCCAAGGACAAAGTTCTTTGTCTCCACAGACTCCTAAGTGCACCACTCACTCTTTTTCCCTCATCAATTCTATGATTCACCTCATCTTTCATAGACCCATCCGCTGACACGTCCACTCCCAAATATCTGAATACGTTCACCTCCTCCATACTCTCTCCCTCCAATCTGATATTCAATCTTTCATCACCTAATCTTTTTGTTATCCTCATAACCTTACTCTTTCCTGTATTCACCTTTAATTTTCTTCTTTTGCACACCCTACCAAATTCATCCACCAATCTCTGCAACTTCTCTTCAGAATCTCCCAAGAGCACAGTGTCATCAGCAAAGAGCAGCTGTGACAACTCCCACTTTGTGTGTGATTCTTTATCTTTTAACTCCACGCCTCTTGCCAAGACCCTCGCATTTACTTCTCTTACAACCCCATCTATAAATATATTAAACAACCACGGTGACATCACACATCCTTGTCTAAGGCCTACTTTTACTGGGAAAAAATTTCCCTCTTTCCTACATACTCTAACTTGAGCCTCACTATCCTCGTAAAAAACTCTTCACTGCTTTCAGTAACCTACCTCCTACACCATACACTTGCAACATCTGCCACATTGCCCCCCTATCCACCCTGTCATACGCCTTTTCCAAATCCATAAATGCCACAAAGACCTCTTTAGCCTTATCTAAATACTGTTCACTTATATGTTTCACTGTAAACACCTGGTCCACACACCCCTACCTTTCCTAAAGCCTCCTTGTTCATCTGCTATCCTATTCTCTGTCTTACTCTTAATTCTTTCAATTATAACTCTACCATACACTTTACCAGGTACACTCAACAGACTTATCCCCCTATAATTTTTGCACTCTCTTTTATCCCCTTTGCCTTTATACAAAGGAACTATGCATGCTCTCTGCCAATCCCTAGGTACCTTACCCTCTTCCATACATTTATTAAACAATTGCACCAACCACTCCAAAACTATATCCCCACCTGCTTTTAACATTTCTATCTTTATCCCATCAATCCCGGCTGCCTTACCCCCTTTCATTTTACCTACTGCCTCACGAACTTCCCCCACACTCACAACTGGCTCTTCCTCACTCCTACAAGATGTTATTCCTCCTTGCCCTATACACGAAATCACAGCTTCCCTATCTTCATCAACATTTAACAATTCCTCAAAATATTCCTTCCATCTTCCCAATACCTCTAACTCTCCATTTAATAACTCCATTTAATAACCTTAAAATATTTACAAATATTTTAAGGTCAGTAATGAGTGTACACTATATGCATTTTATTGCTCTAAGGCACTTTAAATGCCTAGTATATAATGTGTGGGTGGGGTGGCCAGATGGAGTTACGATACCTACCACACTTCGATACCCACCTACCCTACTATTCACCTTGCACCCTATATTAAGACCATTAAGACTACAAATATTTTAAGGTAAGTAATGAGTGTACATTAAATACATTTTATTGCTCTAAGGCTCTTTAAATGTCGAAGTATATTACGTGTGGGTGGGGTGGGGTGGCCTGGCTGCCATACCTACCACACCTAACTTCTTACAATAAACACTATTCACTTCTCACCCTACAATAAGACTACAAATATTTTGAGGTAAGTAATGAGTGTATGTTCCTTATTGTTTTTTAATGCCTTGTTCCATTGCTAACTTAATATATGTTAGTGTAAACTTATTATCTGACATAAGTGGAAACAAATGGCATTCTGCTTCCCTGCGATGTCCGCTTTCTGGCAGTAGCCTGGAACCTAACCTGCTGTATAGGTGGGGCCCTATTGTAGTCACTTTTAATTTCATTTTTTTACATACCCTACCAAACTCATCAACCAACCTCTGCAACTTCTCTTCAGAATCTCCCAAAAGCACAGTGTCATCATTTGCAGCATTATTAATAGTTTATGGTAAAGTACCATGTGTAAAATGGTCAATATCATATTTACATATGACATCATGGAAGATGTTAGGTTAAAGAATACAGATGCAACTAATATAACATTTTACTGTGGCAATGTTTAACTCTCCTTTAGCTCCTGAGAAAGCTCCTGGAGAGTGAAATGTTGCCACAATAAATTATCATGTTAGCTGCATCTGTCTCCTCTTACCATTATTAGCATGGAGGACACATGTTTAATGGTTAGAAAAGTGTGCTCTTAAAACAATTACTGTACTATATAGTACTTATATGGAGGAGGTAAACATGTAGTCATCACATAGTGCCTGGAAACTGACAGTCAGGTTTAATCTGTGAAAGGTGGTAGCTTAAATTCCATGAATCAAGGCAATTTTAACCCTTTACCAGGCCTGGGAAAGGGTAATTACCCCTTTACCAGGAGTGGAAAAGGGTAATTACCCCTCTCCAGGCCTGGTAAAGGGAGGGAATGGAATTCAACTTGTATTCCCTTCCCTCTTATATCATTACAATTATGATAGAATGAAATATAAGTGGTGGTGCAGAGCGTGATAAGATAAGATAAGATAAGATTTCGTTCGGATTTTTAACCCCGGAGGGTTAGCCACCCAGGATAACCCAAGAAAGTCAGTGCATCATCGAGGACTGTCTAACTTATTTCCATTGGGGTCCTTAATCTTGTCCCCCAGGATGCGACCCACACCAGTCGACTAACACCCAGGTACCTATTTGCTGCTAGGTGAACAGGACAACAGGTGTAAGGAAACGTGTCGAAATGTTTCCACCCGCCGGGAATCGAACCCGGGCCCTCCGTGTGTGAAGCGGGAGCTTTAGCCACCAGGCCACTGGGCCACAAAAGTTACCTGGCATCCAAGTTGGTACTGGAATGTGTAAAACAAACTTGAATGCCAGTCTGAAGGTTTTCACAACTCGATATATTCAGTAAGCTCTTGACTGCACTATCTTTATACCTGTAGTTAACATGCTTGCTCCACAACCTACTTAAAAAAACATTAAAAATTATATACTCACCTATTTATTCCTTCTTCTGACATGCTCTCCTCACTGTCACTCTCCTTATCATCAAAGTCGTCATTGCTTTCCTCTACTTTATCACTGTTGTAGTATTTATCTGGGTCAGGCAATTCATCAATGATAGTTTGAGTGAACTCATCAATGTCATCATCACTTTCATCTTGTTCCTCTGCCTCTTCTTTTTCATCTTCCTTGTTTTCAGTCGATTTAGCCTTTGCCTTTCTCTTTTTCAACCTATAAAAAAATGATGGAAAGGACAATATTTTAATGTTATATATAGACAACATTTTGCAGCAAGTGCCAAGTGTAAAATGAGCATTAGTCAATATATTTACACGTGACAGCATGGAGGATGCATGTTTTACAGTTAGGTAAGTGTGCACTTAAAATTTTTGTGGGGGTGGTAAAAACAAAGAGATCATACAGTGCCTGAAAAATGGGAGGCAGTCATGTCTAATCAATGGAAGAGGAGGGTAGCTTCTGTTCCTTGGATTAAGAGTTGAAGGGTGCACAAAACTACGAGGGAGCATGGATGAGAGATCAGAATGAAAGATGAGGTGATGTGAAGGAAATAAAGACGTGAAGTGAGGCAGTGAATGGGTGTGCTAGGGTAGGTGATGTAGGCATGGAGGAGAATATAGAGGTGTACAAGACAGCAATTGTTGGTCCCCTCTTTGTCTCATAAACATACAATGTGTTTTAACTACACATTTGCAACTGAGTTCCCTTCTAATTTTTTTAATAGTTCCTACCCTTGTAGTGGGTTAGGATGCACGTGCAAGAGAGCGAGTGAATGAATGAATTATGGGCATTTTGAGGAAAGTGAGGGAATAATTGTTAAGTGACCTAAATGCTAAAGTGGGTGAGACTTGTTGACAGAGTAGTAGGCAGCTTTGAAGTGTCACAGATAAATGGTAATGAGGGGGCCCTTAATTGAAACTCTGGTATAATATTTTTAAAGGGTATAGCCAAATTTGTTAATACCTTTAATGTGAACATTATTTTGTCTTCCATAAATATTAAAAAAAAAAAAAAAAAAAAAGTTTTGACCAATTTCCACCAGAAATATAAGAACAACTATAATCTAATACAGCATTATTTTAACGACACTGTACTGCTAGACAAGTACAGTGGAACCTCTACTTGCGAGCGTGTCCACGTGCAAGTTTTTCCAAATACGAGCAGTCAATGGGTCAATTTTTTGCTTCCATACGCGAGCAAAATTTCCACACGCTAGCAGACCTGGTGAGGGGCTCTTGCTCTTGATCTCGGTAATTGTATCTCATTTGTTTGTTGGACTATCTTATTGAAACTTGGGCAATGTATGATGGAAAGATGCTTCTTAAGGTACACCAAAAATGAAAGAAATCTAAGCATAAATAATGGAGTTCACTTCTCAGCAATTAGCCACCCCTTAGTGGTAATTTTGAATGTTTTTTATAGTTGTATTCTCGTTTTTTTTGGTCTCATTTGATAGAATGGAAGATATATTACAGAAATAGATATGATTTTGATTGCTTTCATGACGAAAAGTACCTTGAAATAGAGCTCAACCTAGGAGAAATGGTCCATTGCTTGGCTGTTTGTGTAAACAAATGATGTCACAGTAAATCTTACATTTTTTGTGTGGATAAAAATTACAAATTATTAATATAATAATAACAATGATAATAATAATAATAATAATAATGAAAGAAATCTAAGCATAAATAATGGAGTTCACTTCTCAGCAATTAGCCACCCCTTAGCGGTAATTTCAAATGGATTTTATGGTTGTTTTCTCGTTTTTTTGGTCTCATTTGATAGAATGGAAGATATATTACAGAAACAGATATGATTTTAATTGCTTTCATGACGAAAAGTGCCTTGAAACTGAGCTCAACCTAGGAGAAATGGTCCACTGCTTGGCTGTTTCAGAGTAAACAAATGATGTCACTGTCCATTCCAATATGCAGTCGTGAATGGGTTGACATATTTATACAATTACTTTTGCAATAAGGAATAACAGTAAATCTTATATTTTTTGTGTGAATAAAAATTACAAATAGTTTATATAATAATAATAATTATTTTTTTTTTTTTTTTTTATTATCACACCGGCCGATTCCCACCAAGGCAGGGTGGCCCGAAAAAGAAAAACTTTCACCATCATTCACTCCATCACTGTCTTGCCAGAAGGGTGCTTTACACTACAGTTTTTAAACTGCAACATTAACACCCCTCCTTCAGAGTGCAGGCACTGTACTTCCCATCTCCAGGACTCAAGTCCGGCCTGCCGGTTTCCCTGAATCCCTTCATAAATGTTACTTTGCTCACACTCCAACAGCACGTCAAGTATTAAAAACCATTTGTCTCCATTCACTCCTATCAAACACGCTCACGCATGCCTGCTGGAAGTCCAAGCCCCTCGCACACAAAACCTCCTTTACCCCCCCCCTCCAACCCTTCCTAGGCCGACCCCTACCCCGCCTTCCTTCCACTACAGACTGATACACTCTTGAAGTCATTCTGTTTCGCTCCATTCTCTCTACATGTCCGAACCACCTCAACAACCCTTCCTCAGCCCTCTGGACAACAGTTTTGGTAATCCCGCACCTCCTCCTAACTTCCAAACTACGAATTCTCTGCATTATATTCACACCACACATTGCCCTCAGACATGACATCTCCACTGCCTCCAGCCTTCTCCTCGCTGCAACATTCATCACCCACGCTTCACACCCATATAAGAGCGTTGGTAAAACTATACTCTCATACATTCCCTCTTTGCCTCCAAGGACAAAGTTCTTTGTCTCCACAGACTCCAAAGTGCACCACTCACTCTTTTTCCCTCATCAATTCTATGATTCACCTCATTTTTTCATAGACCCATCCGCTGACACGTCCACTCCCAATATCTGAATACGTTCACCTCCTCCATACTCTCTCCTCCAATCTGATATTCAATCTTTCATCACCTAATCTTTTTGTTATCCTCATAACCTTACTCTTTCCTGTATTCACCTTTAATTTTCTTCTTTTGCACACCCTACCAAATTCATCCACCAATCTCTGCAACTTCTCTTCAGAATCTCCCAAGAGCACAGTGTCATCAGCAAAGAGCAGCTGTGACAACTCCCACTTTGTGTGTGATTCTTTATCTTTTAACTCCACGCCTCTTGCCAAGACCCTCGCATTTACTTCTCTTACAACCCCATCTATAAATATATTAAACAACCACGGTGACATCACACATCCTTGTCTAAGGCCTACTTTTACTGGGAAAAAATTTCCCTCTTTCCTACATACTCTAACTTGAGCCTCACTATCCTCGTAAAAAACTCTTCACTGCTTTCAGTAACCTACCTCCTACACCATACACTTGCAACATCTGCCACATTGCCCCCCTATCCACCCTGTCATACGCCTTTTCCAAATCCATAAATGCCACAAAGACCTCTTTAGCCTTATCTAAATACTGTTCACTTATATGTTTCACTGTAAACACCTGGTCCACACACCCCCTACCTTTCCTAAAGCCTCCTTGTTCATCTGCTATCCTATTCTCCGTCTTACTCTTAATTCTTTCAATTATAACTCTACCATACACTTTACCAGGTACACTCAACAGACTTATCCCCCTATAATTTTTGCACTCTCTTTTATCCCCTTTGCCTTTATACAAAGGAACTATGCATGCTCTCTGCCAATCCCTAGGTACCTTACCCTCTTCCATACATTTATTAAATAATTGCACCAACCACTCCAAAACTATATCCCCACCTGCTTTTAACATTTCTATCTTTATCCCATCAATCCCGGCTGCCTTACCCCCTTTCATTTTACCTACTGCCTCACGAACTTCCCCCACACTCACAACTGGCTCTTCCTCATTCCTACAAGATGTTATTCCTCCTTGCCCTATACACGAAATCACAGCTTCCCTATCTTCATCAACATTTAACAATTCCTCAAAATATTCCTTCCATCTTCCCAATACCTCTAACTCTCCATTTAATAACTCTCCTCTCCTATTTTTAACTGACAAATCCATTTGTTCTCTAGGCTTTCTTAACTTGTTAATCTCACTCCAAAACTTTTTCTTATTTTCAACAAAATTTGTTGATAACATCTCACCCACTCTCTCATTTGCTCTCTTTTTACATTGCTTCACCACTCTCTTAACTTCTCTCTTTTTCTCCATATACTCTTCCCTCCTTGCATCACTTCTACTTTGTAAAAACTTCTCATATGCTAACTTTTTCTCCCTTACTACTCTCTTTACATCATCATTCCACCAATCGCTCCTCTTCCCTCCTGCACCCACTTTCCTGTAACCACAAACTTCTGCTGAACACTCTAACACTACATTTTTAAACCTACCCCATACCTCTTCGACCCCATTGCCTATGCTCTCATTAGCCCATCTATCCTCCAATAGCTGTTTATATCTTACCCTAACTGCCTCCTCTTTTAGTTTATAAACCTTCACCTCTCTCTTCCCTGATGCTTCTATTCTCCTTGTATCCCATCTACCTTTTACTCTCAGTGTAGCTACAACTAGAAAGTGATCTGATATATCTGTGGCCCCTCTATAAACATGTACATCCTGAAGTCTACTCAACAGTCTTTTATCTACCAATACATAATCCAACAAACTACTGTCATTTCGCCCTAGATCATATCGTGTATACTTATTTATCCTCTTTTTCTTAAAATATGTATTACCTATAACTAAACCCCTTTCTATACAAAGTTCAATCAAAGGGCTCCCATTATCATTTACACCTGGCACCCCAAACTTACCTACCACACCCTCTCTAAAAGTTTCTCCTACTTTAGCATTCAAGTCCCCTACCACAATTACTCTCTCACTTGGTTCAAAGGCTCCTATACATTCACTTAACATCTCCCAAAATCTCTCTCTCTCCTCTGCATTCCTCTCTTCTCCAGGTGCATACACGCTTATTATGACCCACTTCTCGCATCCAACCTTTACTTTAATCCACATAATTCTTGAATTTACACATTCATATTCTCTTTTCTCCTTCCATAACTGATCATTTAACATTACTGCTACCCTTCCTTTGCTCTAACTCTCTCAGATACTCCAGATTTAATCCCATTTATTTCCCCCACTGAAACTCTCCTACCCCCTTCAGCTTTGTTTCACTTAGGGCCAGGACATCCAACTTCTTTTCATTCATAACATCAGCAATCATCTGTTTCTTGTCATCCGCACTACACCCACGCACATTTAAGCAACCCAGTTTTATAAAGTTTTTCTTCTTCTCTTTTTTAGTAATTGTATACAGGAGAAGGGGTTACTAGCCCATTGCTCCCGGCATTTTAGTCCCCTCATACGACACGCATGGCTTACGGAGGAAAGATTCTTTTCCACTTCCCCATGGACAATAGAAGAAATAAAAAAGAACAAGAGCTATTTAGAAAAAGGAGAAAAACCTAGATGTATGTATATATATATATGCATGTGCGTGTCTGTGCAGTGTGACCAAAGTGTAAGTAGGAGTAGCAAGATATCCCTGTTATCTTAGCGTGTTTATGAGACAGAAAAAGAAACCAGCAATCCTACCATCATGCAAAACAGTTACAGGTTTTTGTTTCACAGTCATCTGGCAGGACGGTAGTACTTCCCTGGGTGGTTGCTGTCTACCAACCTACTAATAATAATAATGTACTACATATAATAATTATAATAATAGACGGCTTCAAAAGGCCGTCACTAGATGGCAATGTTTACCACAACATAGAGGGAGCGGTTGTGGCTGCCTCCACCTGTTACATAATGACATATTTTATTCATTCTAGAGTATGTATCGTGTTTATGTTATTTATATTGTCTGTTATGTCATATTAGATGAACTGTGATATATTAATAAGCCGTATAGGTGATATTAGCGAAATTATTCATGAAGTATTTTGCCCGGTCTCCAGACAAACTCTCGTCCACCGCCGACACCATGTCTGGTGATGATGTGCAAATCCTGTGTAATATGTAATTATGTGAGTGTTAGAATAACAGATGGAAATGAGAGACGGAAAATACCACACAGGGATTATTGTTATTGTATTCACTGGGAAGTGCTAAATCTGCTGCTCAAGAATAGGAGCTAAGTTTTCTTCAAGGAAGGGAAGGGTAGCTTCAATTCCTTAGATAAAGCCCCCTTCATCAGCATCAAGGTAGACATTGTGATGAAATGTTGAAAGCAATAGTGTGTGGATTTTCAGAATAATGATAGGCTAAAGACTATCTCCAGTATATCACATAAATGTAGTACATTGTATTGAAACTCAAGCCACACTGAATAACCTAATAAAATAAGACTACACATTTAAGAAGATGCTAAAAGAAAGCTGTTCACAACAAATATTAGGCAAAAATTTAAATAGGTAGCAGTAGTACAATGACTGCACCTCGTTCAAAAAAAATAAAAGATTTTATTTTAATTATTATCCTGGAGGATTAATGACACAGGATAACCCAATAAGCCTCCATCATCAAACTGTTGGATGCAGCCAGCTAACACCTGGGTACTTACTGTATTTTATGGCATTGGAAGCGATATTTTTCCCCCAAAATGAGTCTCGAAAACTTATCCAGCCTTGAAGGCCGAAGTACAGTTTATCTTTTTTTTCCCAAATTTAGCCAATCAGAATTGGGGGACATCCTCAACACTGAGGTATCTTGTTTGCCATAAAATATGGTTCTAAATTATCAGAGGCAACATGCATAAGGAAATGTGCCTAACTTTCCACTTGCCTGGGGACTGAGCCCCAGTGTGAGCTGAGGCCAATACCAACTGAGCCACAAGCAGGTAGCCAAGACAGAAAAATTCCAAAGACATTTAATAAAATGACTCCAAGAGCAACACAAAAAAAAATATTATGAAGACTGAAAACACCAAACACCCTCATGGCTGATATGAGGAAAAGAAGGGAAGTAATATTCACAAAGAAAAGACACTACTATGGCTGAAACATGTCACAAATAATGTCCATTTAGGACAGTAAACTCCAGATGATGTTTCAACCCATCCTGGACCATTATTAAATCTAGAATGACACCCGCATATAAAATCATAGAGAGATCAGAAAATTGATGAAGATTTCTTAGCATCAATGACAGAGTGAACACAAGGCTGAGTGAAAACAAAGAAAACAATTGTTAAAAGGATACTTGAAAGTGCTTAAAATGAGCTTTGAGATGAGGTAGTATGGTATTAAACACTGAAGATAGGACACCATGAATATAATAGCTCTCCTCTTGTAACAGGTAATTCATCCACAAGTTTCCAGGTTTCAACTGAAAAAAAAAAAAAAAAAAAGGGTACGGATGGGATTTGAACCCATAGCGAATGAATCGTAAAATTCCAGGCCCGTGCATAAGCCACTGGGCCAGCTGGCTAAAATAACATTCGTCCAACTAGGTATATTTCTATACACCATCCAGAGTTTTACAACTCACTCACCATGGATTCAAACCCCACCTGCTCTGTGGTTTGATTGATACAATGAAAGGCAAGAGAAATTCCCAGTGGAATAAACACAAAAAATTTCTAATTCTTCATGCCTAATCAATAACTACTGTACTGATCAATGTCAAAAAATAAAAATATTATTGTCAGAAATACTTACCACCTCTTTTCTTTTAGCTTTGTAGCATTTAACTTTTTATCAAGGTGATCTTCCTCTTTCATGATGTCCTGAAACCTGGTAATATCGATTCCACCATATATCTGCTTATTGTCTGCCTGAAATATATGGAAAATGAATAAATAAATAAATTTATAAATACTAGAGAGAGGAGGGCCCCACCTATACAGCAAGTTAGGTTACAGACTACTGCCGAAAAGCAAAAATCACAAAAAAGTGGAAGATAACCTTTTTTTCACTTTCAAATGTATATAAAAGCCTGATAACATGCTTACACTATCATACAGTAAGTGCCCAATAGAACTAGGCCTATGAAGATACAAAAGTACAATGAATATACAAGACACACACATTACGTACCTTAAAATATTTTTGTCCTTAGCTTATAAAGAGTGGTGAATATATTTACAGTAGGAAGAATGAAGATGTGACATTTTCATCATCTGACTTAAACCTATTAAACCAGCCTCTGCTAGCTCAGTAGCTTCTCCATCTCTCTCAGCCTTCATAGAACTGAAGAGACTTGGGGCCTTGCCCTGGATGATGGCTTGGCATAAAGGCACATTATGACTGGTTTGATCTTCAATCCACACTAGTAAAAGTTTTCTCATGTCGCCAATAAGGCCCTCGTACATTTTTTATAACTTTAGTGTTCACCGGTGTAACATTTTTAATTTCCTTCAATGCTTTCTCCTTAGAGTTCACAACTGTATTAACTGTTTGACAAGCCAAACCCAGCTTGCATCCTATCTCAGCCATAGACATATCTTGATGATTAATTTAATCATTTCTAACTTGGCATTTCAAATAAAAGGCTTATGACTCCTCTTGTTATCACACCTACCCTTAGATGCCTTTGTAATTAGTACAGAAATATTACATATCTTCTTTCTTCTTTCAACAAATCAGCCATTTCCCACCGAGGCAAGATGGCCCAAAAAGAAAAACAAAATTTTCTCTTTTTAACTTTAGTAATGTATACAGGAGAAGGGGTTACTAGCCTCTTGTTCTCGGCATTTTAGTTGACTCTTACGACATGCATGGCTTACAGAGGAAGAATTCCATCCCACTTCCCCATGGAGATAAGTGGAAATAAACGAGAACTAGGAAGAAAATAGAAGAAAACCCAGAGTGGTTTGTATATATATGCTTAGACATGCACGTGCAGTGTGACCTAAGTGCAAGTAGAAGTAGCAAGACGTACCTGAAACCTTGCATGTTTCTTCTTTCAACACACCGGCCGTATCCCACCGATGCGGGGTGGCCCAAAAGGATAAACGAAAGTTTCTCTTTTTACATTTAGTAATATATACAGGAGAAGGGGTTACTAGCCCCATGCTCCTGGCATTTTAGTCGCCTCTTACAACACGCATGGCTTACGGAGGAAGAATTCTGATCCACTTGTACATGTATGTATAGTGTGACCTAAGTGTAAGAGGAAGTAGCAAGACGTACCTGAAATCTTGCATGTTTATGAGACATAAAAAAGATACCAGCAATCCTACCATCATGCAAAACAATTATAAGCTTCTGTTTCACACTCACTTGGTAGGACAGTAGTACTTCCCTGGGTGGTTGCTGTCTACCAACCTACTACCCAGGCATATTATATATATAATAATTTTAAAACATTTAAAACTTTGGAAAGTTTCCAGACAGAATCCAGAGAGATAAACTGCATAAAGGCTGTAAACAGACTAAAGAAAATGGTGCCAGATGCTCAGCTGTTAAGTGCGTCAGCCTGAAAAATGCTGAAATACCAGACCCTGCGCCAAATAAACGAAAAATGGGAATAATTGAAAAGTGCTGCATTAACAAAATGCATCCCGCCTGTACTGTAAAATACTAATGACTATGTAAAGAAAAATATAAGCCTACAGTGAAGTGGCTGTTGCCAAGCAAGTCTCAAATTTCAGTTGTTACACAGCCTTATTCTCTATTACCACTTGCTAAATATGGCTTCTAAAGCTTCCCATTGCTTAGGACATCAGCATGTCTAAATCTGGACTTGGTTGTGGTAAAACAAATATAGGAAAATTTCTTGTCTTGATGCTACTGAAGAGCTTTTGATCTAAGGAACTGGAGCTAACCTTCCATTTCTTAGATTGAACCTGACTGCCTTCAGTGGGTTTAGCGCTTCTCTGTAAAAGTAATAATACTGTGATATTCTAAAATTTAATGAAATATTCAATTAGTACCTGTGCAATGAATAAAAAAACTACCTTCACACATATTAAAAAACCTGCTCACCTGCTGATATGTGGGATCCAGTAACATTTCATCATCAAATATCACTCTTTGGTTAACCTGCAAGTTCTTCCTCTTCAGTTTTTTGACAATATCAAATTTCGTTATTGGCTTCTTACGATTTGTTCTGGAGTCTGTGGACTTCATGATCATTTCATCATCGTCAGTGAATTCATCCTGGTGTTCAGAGATCTTAAGGAAGTCGTCGTCATCATCTTCATCACTGTCACCTGTTGACAATGTAGATAACTGGCATTATAATTATTCTTAATTGTTATTATTTTTACAATTATTGGGAAAAGTTAAATCCATAGGGGTCATATACTGCCCCGGGGGGAATAGAAAGCATTCAGGCTAGATTCAAGGAATTTGAGCAAAGGCCCAATTCCTTGAGGGAGCTAAACCCATAAGGGGAATGCAATGCCTGGAAAATGAGAGGCAATGAGGTTTGATTTAACTTAGCTTAGCTTTATGTACAGGAAAAGACCCTTTGGGGGTGAGTATGGAAGATAGGTGAGATTAAGAATAGTTTTGTAAGAGGAGTGTCCTGAGGGAGAGGGATAATACCAAGGCTTAATAAAGCCCCTGGGAGGTTTGATATAGAGTGAAACTGTCACAATAAAAGCTTGCTCTATACCTCTATCTTTCCATTACTATGGTAGTATGGCTTATGTTATTATCCAATTTGAGGAAAAACATAATTCTAATTCCCTGGATCAAAAGCCCTTTATCAGCATCAAAAGCCATTCCCTCCCCACCTTTGAATGGTTACCAAATGAAGGGAATACTATAAAGAAAACTGCAAACTCAGATAAACTATTGAGTGGTAAATTTTGGCCTAGACATGAGAGAATGGTTCTGTGCGATGAGTGTACATAGAATAAAAAGTCCTGCCCCATGCGGTGCATGATAGGAAGAGAAAATCTCTGACCCTATGTAGTTTTAAAATGGCAATTTTTGAGGTGTTCTTCAGGATGTTTTTTATTGGCTGCTTCTTGGTGTTATTTTATAGACAGGAAACAGCGAAGATTTTGGTTGGTTTGAGAACCAGTAGTAGTTTGAAATCAGGGTCAAAGTAGGGAAAAAATTTGATTTTTTGATGGTTTTCCTGAGGGCAGGTAAGGCTCCCTACTCCTTTGGTGTATTTTTTTTTTTACTAGGTCTGTTTTGATTATTGGGATGCCCTAAACCATAACCACTCATTCTGATTATATTTTATCCTCCAAGCCTTAGACCAGGAGGTCTGGTCTGAAACTGGACCACAGGAAAGAAATCCCCAGAACTACTAACAAATAACACATGTACAGTGGACCCCCGCATAACGATCATCTCCGAATGCGACCAATTATGTAAGTGTATTTATGTAAGTGCGTTTGTACATATGTGTATGTTTGGGGGTCTGAAATGGACTAATCTACTTCACAATATTCCTTATGGGAACAAATTCGGTCAGTACTGGCACCTGAACATACTTCTGGAATGAAAAAATATCGTTAACCGGGGGTCCACTGTATAAGGGAGCACGGCTGAGGCTACCTCTTGATATTTTTGTTAATATTTTTCTTTGCTTTGACTTTATCAAATGCATATGTTTGTTTGGTATGGGTGTGGAAAGCTCTTATTTGTTTGGTACAATTTGGTAAACAAATGTGGCTTTTATTTCCATGTTACTGACATGTACTGAGTATCAGTTGATTAACCTCATTACATCAAACTTAGCGCAGTAGGTCCATGTTAACCCTCCCCACAAGCTTCAAGTGCTTCAGGTAACAACTAACACAATATGAAGTAAGTTATCCTGTAGTAATTTTTACCTAATAGAATAGCAACATGAAATATTTATGGCAAATTTGGAAGTGCCTGGAAATTAACCCTATTTTTCTGCAATAGATTTCAATTCATATAAAGTTACTTCTGACATGGTCTTCACTTCATATAAAGTTATTATGCTGACATAGTTTTCACCTCACAAAGCTACTTTTCATGAGGTGCAGGTTTTCAGGAACATAGCCTGCGTTATGAGAGATTTTACTCTATATGATGCAAGCTAGAAAATGCAATTCTGAAACAAATATCACTGTCTATACAAGGAGACACAAGCAAATTTTGAAAGTACTGTATTACTGCATAACAATGTACACGAATAATTTTTACCTGCTCTAATATCTAGTGTTGTGAGCTTAGGTCTTTCTGCTAAGTCAGACACCTGCTCCGCTTCATTAGTTTCAGATTTAACTGCCATCCGGCCCAATGCTGTCTTCATTCCTTTTTCCAAAAATCTTACTCTGGGAGTGACTACAAGTCCTAATGATCTAATGTAAGAGAAACAAAAACATTAAAGAATGTTAAGAATTATTTGAGAAACACTTCTCTAATAACTTTTTTTTCAACATGCTGGTCATCTCCCACTGAGGCAGGGTGACCCAAAAATGAAAGAAACACTTTCACCATCATTCACACACAATCACTGTAATATTATATATGTAATATTATATTACAAAATATATAATATTTTTCATTGTTACCCATACAGTCTTCAAATGCATACAAATATAACTCATGAAATCGTAATAACATGACTGCAAACAAACCATGGACGGGGCGGGGATTGAAATTATGTTAAGTGAGTGGTAAAACTCCAGGCCAGTGTGTAAGCCACTCACCACGTGTTTACTCCCCACCCATTCCGTAGTTTTTTATACAAATATAAATTATTTCCAGCAACCGCCCAGGGAGGTACTACCGTCCTGCCAAGTGAGTGTAAAATGAAAGCCTGTAATTGTCTTACATGATGGTAGGATTGCTGGTGTCTTTTGTCTGTCTCAGAAACATGCAAGATTTCAGGTACGTCTTGCTACTCCAACTTACACTTAGGTCACACTACACATACAAGTACAAGCATATATATATATACACACCCCTCTGAGTTTTCTTCTATCTTCTTTCCAGTTTTTGTTCTTGTGTATTTCCTCTTATCTCCATGGGGAAGTGGAACAGAATTCTTCCTCCGTAAGCCATGCGTATTGTAAGAGGCGACTAAAATGCCGGGAGCAAGGGGCTAGTAACCCCTTCTGTATAAATTACTAAATTTAAAAAGAGAAACTTTTGTTTTTCTTTTTGGGCCACCCTGCCTTGGTGGGATAAGGCCAGTTTGTTGAAAAAAAAAAAATAAAGTTCAAATAAACAATATACATATGTACTGGGTACCTACCGGGCAAATGCATTAATGTCGATAGACATGATGTTAAACACTTTCTTGTCTTTTGTTAGTGCCAAGTGCTTCAAATATGTCTTAAATGCTCGTACTGCTTCCTCCTTCAGGTTCAAGTATTTACTCAATATTATTTCAATCTTGATATTGATGCGCTGCAGTTTCGAAGAGTCAACACTGGTGAATAAAGAGAACAGGTATTGCAACACACCGACTGTCTTCCACTGAGGTAGGGTGACCCAAAAGAATAGATTTAACTTATTTAATCAACATTCATCCCTACCATCTTTTGGAGTGCAGGCATGACATTTTCTACTTTCATATAAGAATCCCAGCTAATCTTTAGATGACTCAGTCCTAATGAGCAATGGTTGATAAGGTAAAAAATGTTATGCTCTCACCATTTTTATAACAAATTTGAGCCAATTTTATAGCTATATTGCAACTAAAAAATAGTCAGTTCTTCAGATACTAATTACAATTACTACCTTTATAACTGGGTGTCTCCCACCAACGTAGGGTGACCTGACAAAAAGGAAAATGCTTTCACCATCACTGATTCTATCACTGCTGTCTTGCCAGAAGGGCATCAGCATCACGGTTCAGATGACCCTTTAAACCACAACACCCCCACTCATCCTTCAGAGTGCAGGCACTGTACTTCCCACCTCCAGGACTCAAGTCCGGCTAACCTGTTATCTAGAGTACCTTTATAAATGTTACCTTGCTTGCACTCCAACAGTATGTCAAATCGTAAAAACCTAAAAGAGAGGAAATACCTTCACTGTCACTCATTCAATAGCTGTCTTGCCAGAAAGTGTGCCCTCTGAACTGCAACATCCTCCCTTTTTCTTTTTTGAATACAAGAACTACTCTCACTACCATTATACTCTGAACAGCATCATTAGTTAAAAGAAATCAGTCTGCCTAGTTCCTCTTTTAATTTAACAAACAAGAGCATCGTTAACATGCAACTTCTATATTTTAAAATAAAATGACTAGTGTTAATAGTACAGTAGAGCTCTTTGTTGCAAGCTACAATCATCCACAACAATGCATAAATAAAATAATTTTGCCTAGTTATTATTTTGATTCAGCATACAACAGTATCTTTTGCATACAGATATTTAATAATAAAATTATTTCAGTGTTATCAGCAATACAAATCTCTCTGGTACAAGTTACATTAAGAACAATGCTATATCTAACAATTAAAACTTACTGCTTTGAAAATATAGTACAGACTCCTTTATCTGAAATTCCAAAATCCGAAAGATTTTCAAGTGTTGACGTAATGCGCCACAAATGGATCATTCAGCGCAAGACATAGTGGATGCTCGATCCTCAGTCTGCTGAACCGAGACAGGCAAACTTTATATTTGTACTAGTGCCAATTTGTTATCAGCAGCACTTACTAATGAATTACCGTGTGTTTCGTGCTCCGTAGTGTGATGATAATGTTGAAAATGTCGAAAAGGCTTACGGGTAATAGTGACAAGAAAGTGAAGAAGCATTTATGTTTATCTATATCACAGAAAGTCAAGGTGTTGGAAAAACTTGAGATTGGTGTAAATGTGAAGCATCTAACCTGAGGAGTTTGATGCATTTATCTTCTTTCTGTAAGCAGTGATAGTTTTTTTTTTTTTTGGTACAGTACCTGTACAATACTGTACAGTGTTTAGACTTGGGTTCCATTTTACAGATGCAAATACACATATTCCAAAATCCCCAAAAATCTGAAATCTGAAACACTGCCGGTATCAAGCATTTCAGATAAAGGATTCTCAACTGTATTTACAAGTACTTACTCTATTTTCTCTATTGGAATATTTTTGGCTCTCAAATCAGCTACCATTGCCTTTTCTTCCGAGGGCATTAACACGAGAATGGCTCTGCCACTTCTAGAGCATCGTGCTGTTCTGCCAACACGGTGAATGTATGTAGTTACATCTTCTGGGCAGTCAACTTGTACCACCCAATCAACTGCTGGAATATCTATGGAGAAACAACTTTCAATAGATATAAAAAAACTCACCTACAAATGCTTCTCATTCCAATGTGTCAGTGCTGTAAACAGGACACTATGTGGCCAATTGATAGTACAGTGGACCCCCAGTTAACGATACTTTTTCACTCCAGAAGTATGTTCAGGTGCCAGTACTGACCGAATTTGTTCCCATAAGAAATATTGTGAAGTAGATTAGTCCATTTCAGACCCCCAAACATACACGTACAAACGCACTTACATAAATACACTTACATAATTGGTCGCATTCGGAGGTAATCGTTATGCGGGGGTCCACTGTACTTTACTGGATGGATGGCCAAATTTCAGCATTTTTAATAGCTATGCCACAGTGTGTGAGGTCTCTCTATGATCATCAATCAACACCTAGCAAGATGCACTATTAAAAGACTAGAATGGCAGGAGAAAGAGACCTTGGCCAAATAAAAATAATGGAATCATTGATACAGATGGGAATTATAAAACAATTCATGCAAGTGCTGTACATCTGAAAGCAGGCGATAAGAATAACAGACCCTGTAATAAAAAATGCATTAGTATTTATCATTTATTAACCAGTTTTGTAAAAACCGTGAGCCATACATATTTACTGAAACTTACCAAGACCTCTTGCAGCAACATCTGTTGCAAAGAGAACAGCAGTTTTTTTCTTGCAAAAGTCATCGTAAACTGCCATTCGCCTTAGCTGATGCATTGATCCACGAAGACTCATTACTGATAAGCCAGGATGAAGCTTACAGAACATGTTGAACATGTACTGTACCTGAAAAACAAAGATGAAGTATTATGACTTCAACTTTAAACCAATTTTACAAAGAAGCCAAATATAATAAATTTACTTGGAGGTTGTTCCGGAGGTCATCGCTCCCGCAGCCTGATCTTTGACCAGGCCTCCCAGTAAATCAAAGCCTGATCAACCAGGCTGTTACTGTTGGGAGCATGTAATTCAACATATGAACCAGCCTGGCTGGCTGGGTACTGACTTTAGGTATCTGTCCATTTCCCTCTTGAAGGCAGCTACACAATCCCATGATTTTTTATTATTTAGTCTTAAAAATAAACCAACAGTTCAATTTAAGGCAGGCAAAACTGCAAAGCTAGAAAATATACGAAGAGCTTTCAGTACCTGTATTAATTTAGCCATATAAATTATTGAGAATGCTTAGAATCCATTAAATTATATTGTGATTACAGTAGCTGAATGTCTCTTAAATTACTAAAGGAGACTTAAGAGATATTTGTGCAACACTTGGGTATCTTTACTCTGGAAATGTTTTGCCAGCCAGTGGCTTCTTCAGTCCAATGCAGAGAAAGGTGGAAGTCGAGGAGGAGTAGTTGGAAGTAATCAGTCCTTCAGCCTGCACTGGACTGAAGAAACCACTGGCTGGCAAAATGTTTCTAGAATAAAAATACCCAAATGTTGCACAAGTGTCTTATTTATTAACTTGTCAATTTTCTAATCCATTTTATCCATGTAAGGAGACTTACTTGTTTACACGTAGCTAGAAATACCAGAATCTTGTATTTCCTGTGATGTCTGATAAATGACCAAAGGAAGGTAAATTTCTCATGAGCATCACAAACAACGTAACTCTCATGCAAACTCTTTGGCGTGGAAGTCTTTGAATGTTCATGGACCGAACAAAACACAGGATTCTTGCAGCCGGCACGAATTAAGTCCTTTACATCTCTGTAAAAGAAGCTTTCGTTAATTCTTCGTTTTAAATACACATGATAATCTTTTAACCCCTTAACTGAGACCAATGTAGATGACAAGGATGTGTCCTACATACCATACCACGGGCGGGGATAGAACCCGCGATCAGAGTCTCAAAACTCCAGACAGTCTGGAGTTTTGAGACTCTCTGATCAGGGGTTCTATCCTCGCCTGTGGTATGGTTTGTTTGCAATCGTGTCATTACAATTTTGTGAGTCATGTGTCCTACATGCTAGTACATACAATTTTTTGTGACTTCGGATATACCACTTGCCAATATTTTTGACCGCAACATAGTTATTTGGGTCTCTTACAACCTCTTCATGCCTTTTAAAAAAATTTAAGGCCATGCAGGTCTACACAGTGCATTATGGGTAACACTGCCTAATAAGCATAAGTGACTGATGAAACTAGGACCTGTTGTTCCACCAACAGTTTCCCTACCTGCAGTCTGTGGAATTGGCAGGAAGATGATGTTTTTCATCCCAAATTTATTACAGTTTCAAGATACTGTCAGTGGAATTCTGCCAAAAAGCACACCAGTATTTACTTTCAGCCTAGGATTACCCAATACATACAGTCATATTTCAATAAAAATTATATCTTGAACAATTGTAATATTATAAGATTTCCTTTAAAATAAGTTTTACAGTGATTTTCAAAGCACACAAGTGTTACAGACACAGAAATTACATTATGTTATATAACCCAGGATACTACCTGAACCTGGTGTATAAATATAATAACAAAATAATTAACCTAGGATAATCTAACATGGTCAAACAACATGACATTTCCACATTTTAAGAAGAATTACATAATGAAACAATTGTAATATTATAGGTATTCCTTTTACAGTGCTAGAATTCCAAAGCAGTAAAAAACATAAGATAAATCATTTTCTTTCACCAATTTATAAGGCATATTCCAAGTAGAGCAATGTCAGGCTATGCATTTCCCTATGTTTATAGTATTAAAACACCTTGCAACACATCTAATAAAAGAAACTAAAGTACATAGTGTTAAGACACTGAAAGCAATAAAAATAAAAAACAATCATAATATGACATCAACAAATTACGTATAGAATTTAAATATTGCTGGTGCATTTACGGCAGTGTTGCTGACAAGGGATAATTTTTTGTCAGCTTAAACACATCATATTGTCTCTTGCCTTCATTAGATTTTATTCCTTTTGTAACTTTTAAAAATACTCGCTTTCAGGGAAAAAAACTTGTTTGTTTTTCAAAATTTTGACACACACAGACAGGAAATTTAATTTCCGAGTATGTCACAGCTAAAGGGTTAAATAAAAAAATGTGTCAGTTCTAAACAGATTACAATGCTTGAATTAAATTGATCTATTTCAAAATGAACAGAAATTGTTTGTTATATACAAGGACTTTCATTTTTCTTTTTAGGTCACCCTGCCTTGGTGGGATATGGTCGGTTTGATGAAAAAAATGTACAAGGAGGCTGAAGGCAGTAGAGAAGTCAGATTTGAGAGCAATGTAAGGTGTGAACATTATGTAGAGACTTTTGAACATGAAGATCATAAGATGGTGTGGGATTACCAATTATAATTTATAGTGTAGAGATGGCTTGAGTATACAGAGGATGAAGAAAAAAGGAAGATAACTATGAGAATATATAAATCTGTGGAGGAAATATAAGGGTTGTCTCAGGAAGGGTTGAAGGAAGGGCTAAATGAGGTTTTGAGTGCTAGGGGCTTGAATATCCATCAGCCTTCTGTGTGTTAGATTGGAGTGAATGGAAACAAGTGGCTTTTGTGGCTAGATGTGCTGTTGGATTGTGAGCAAGGTAACATATCTTAAAGGATTCAGCATTAGTTGGACTTTAGTCCTGGAGGTGGGATGTACAGTGCCTGCACTCTGAAGGATGGATGGGGAAACTGCAGGGTGGAGGGTCATTTGAATTGTAATGTTTGCATGTTTCTTACAAGAGTGCTATTAAATGCATTCCCTTTTTTTGGGTCACTCTACTTCATTGGGGGGATTGGCTGGTGAAAAAAAAAATAATAATGGGGTGGCTTAGTGGGAATGAAGCCCCCAAGCCATCTCGTGGCATTGCCACTGTTGCCAACCTACCACTTCATTGTTGATTGCCTCGTTGACGAGGAATTCAATAATGAAACTTAGGTATGTCCAAAGACAATGCTCTACATGTAATCAATTTGTAAAGAAACTCTACACAAGGGAAAGCCTTTACTGTAGCCAATGTTTGTATAGGATGAGGATTAGCAAGTCATGACAAAGCACATCCCAGGCAAAACATCTAAAATAAAGATGAATAAGTCTCAATACCATGGCTGAAACAATAAATGTTTGTACAGTATGTTGTTTCTTGAGTTATAGCCAAATTTCAGTTTCTTCACACAGCTAAGAAATATCTGAACACTTGACACTGTTCCAGACATTTTGGTGTTGAATTTCTGATTATTACAGTATATTTATAAGTTAGGAGGAGGTGCGGGATTACCAAAACTGTTGTCCAGAGGGCTGAGGAAGGGTTTTTGAGGTGGTTCGGACATGTAGAGAGAATGGAGCGAAACAGAATGACTTCAAGAGTGTATCAGTCTGTACTGGAAGGAAGGCGGGGTAGGGGTCGGCCTAGGGAAGGTTGGAGGGAGGGGGTAAAGGAGGTTTTGTGTGCGAGGGGCTTGGACTTCCAGCAGGCATGCGTGAGCGTGTTTGATAGGAGTGAATGGAGAGTTAGTTTAATATGTTTATTATGCACCCCATACCCATCCTGTGGGCGGTAGTCAAAAGATTACAGAGGTACATAATTGGTCCAGGGACTGGACTCCAAAGTTTTGATAGCTGAGCAAGTTACAGAGGTAATGAATTCACAATTTACAAAGGTATTGAACTCACAATTTACAAAGGTAATGAACTCCAGGTAGGTCTAGTCACAATCATGACAAGTTACAAAGGTATTTACAGATTACAGAGGTACGTAATGGGTCCAGGGACTGGGCTCCCAAAGTTGAATGGAGACAAATGGTTTTTAATACTTGACGTGCTGTTGGAGTGTGAGCAAAGTAACATTTATGAAGGGGTTCAGAGAAACCGGCAGGCCGGACTTGAGTCCTGGAGATGGGAAGTACAGTGCCTGCACTCTGAAGGAGGGGTGTTAATGTTGCAGTTTAAAAACTGTAGTGTAAAGCACCCTTCTGGCAAGACAGTGATGGAGTGAATGATGGTGAAAGTTTTTCTTTTTTGGGCCACCCTGCCTTGGTGGGAATCGGCCAGTGTGATAATAAAAAAAAAATATTTATAGGGAAGCACTAAACCCATATGGGAGGTAAGGTTTGTTCCAAGTTACAGGGGAGAAGGGGAACTCTAATTCCTTGAGTCAAGAGCCCTTTACCAGCAACAAGGTACCACCCTCGAAAGGTCAAATTAACTGACCACCTGACTGCCTCATTACTGAAGTTTTATTCTAGTTTCCCATTCATTTTACATCCCAAGTCAGTTATAATTCCATAAAGCAGCTGTTAATTTTTAACTACATCTTTGCATGGAGTTTTGTACTTACCTGGTCTGTGTTGCAGAAAACAAAAGTGTCTGCCGCTCACATGACAATTCTTCAAAAATGCAATTCATGGTGTCAGCAAACCCCATGGAGAGGCACTGGTCAGCTTCATCCAGTATCAGCATCTGTTGTACAAAATAGCAAGAATAGAATAACAAATTCTAGGTAGTAAGTTGGTAGACAGCAACTACCCAGTAAGGTACTACTGTCCTGCCAAGTGAGTGTAAAACAGAAGCCTGATAGTAGGATTGTTGGTGTCATTTCTGTCTCGTAAACATGCAAGTTTTCAGGTACATCTTGCTACTTCTACTTACACTTAGGTCACACTACACATGCATGTACAAGCATATATATACACACCCTTCTGGGTTTTCTTCTATTTTTCTTACTAGTTCTTGTTCTTGTTTATTTCCACTTACATATCTCCATGGGGAAGTGGAACAGAATTCTTCCTCCGTGAGCTATGCGTGTTGTAAGAGGCGACTAAAATGCCGGGATCAGGGGGCTAGTAGCCCCTTCTTTTACATTTAGTAATATATACAGGAGAAACTTTTGTTTTTCCTTTTGGGCCACCCTGCCTCGGTGGGATACGGCAGGTGTGTTGAAGAAAGAAAGAAGAATAACAAATATCTTATCCAATAGCTTTAAAAATGTTGTCAAACTCATTATGCCAATATTAGCACTTATTATATTCAAAAAAATAATCAGTACCTTCAGTATTTTATTACACAAATAAAGTTAAGCAGCAAAGTTTCTAATGAAACATTAACAAAGGTATGTGTTTTTTTTTTTTTTCAACAAGTCAGTCGTCTCCCACCGAGGCAGGGTGACCCAAAAAAGAAAGAAAATCCCCAAAAAGAAAATACTTTCATCATCATTCAACACTTTCACCACACTCACACATTATCACTGCTTTTGCAGAGGTGCTCAGAATACAACAGTTTAGAAGCATATACGTATAAAGATACACAACATATCCCTCCAAACTGCCAATATCCCAAACCCCTCCTTTAAAGTGCAGGCATTGTACTTCCCATTTCCAGGACTCAAGTCCGACTATATGAAAATATAGTAGTAGGTTGGTAGACAGCAACCACCCAGGGAGGTACTAGCGTCCTGCCAAGTGAGTGTAAAACGAAAGCCTGTAATTGTTTTACATGATGGTAGGATTGCTGGTGTCTTTTGTCTGTCTCATAAATATGCAAGATTACAGGTACGTCTTGCTACTTCTACTTACACTTAGGTCACACTATACATACATGTATACGTTTATTTATACACACTCATCTGAGTTTTCTTTGATTTTATCTTAATAGTTCTTGGTCTTATTACTTTTCCTTTTATATCCATGGGGAAGTGGAATAAGAATCTTTCCTCCGTAAGCCATGCGTGTTGTAAAAGTCAACTAAAATGCCGGGAACAATGGGCTAGTAACCCCTTTTCCTGTAAAGATTACTAAAAAGAATAAGAAGTGTGTGGTTATCATATTTATATGAAACTCGTGACACTCACTAACAATGAAAAACAAGAAAGTGTAAATCAACAAGTTATTCCTCAAGAAACAAACAAAAGGAAACATAATTAGTAAAGAGAAAAGGAGAAAAGAAAGACAAAGCATAGGAAAATTCCATGAAAAGGCAATGTAATCATGAAATATACAATTTTTTCAGCATGTTAATTATATGCCAATTCTTTTTACCAGAATCCATAAATTTTCTAAAGGCAAACTACTGCACCAGCAACCACACTAATGTAAATTCAAATAATAAATGTAAGAACCACCAAAGTAATTTAGTATCTTACTTGCACATTATCTGCCACAAACTCAGGGTTTTCTGTCATGTGTTGCAGGATACGCCCTGGTGTGCAGATCAAAATGTTGCAGGAGCTGACACGATTCCACTCGAACTTTAAATCTTTCCCACCTTAATAAGAAAAAATATATAATGCTAGTAATGTACTGAGGCTCTGTTATAAGAGGGTAGTCATTAAAGGGAATAAGAAACATTTGACAGAAAATTTTCCTTCACTGTGAAAAAGATTTAAAAAATCTGAGGAGGGAGGAGGGTGTGAAGAAAGGTAGGCATTCAAAGTTATTTACATATAAATGGCTTTCATTAAAAAATCCCCCCGCCAAGAAAATAGGGGAGAGGGGAGCTCTTGATGCCAGAAACGGGTTCTTGATGCCAGAAATGGGTTCCCGATGCCATCAACCGGCTCCTGATGCCAGCGAAAGGTTTCTGATGCCAGAAACAAGTTCCTTATGTCAGTAATGGATTCCTGATGCCAGTAAGAGGCTCCTGATGCCAGAAATGGGTTCCTGATGCCAGTAACGAGTTCCTGATGCCAGTAACGGATTCCTGATGCCAGTAACAGGCTCCTGATGCCAGTAACAGGCTCCTGATGCCAGTAACAGGTTCCTGATGCTAGTAATAGGCTCTTGATACAATAGTTAGATGGGTTTTCCCCTTCCTTGTATTGAACATTCCCCAAGGCACTATATGACCCCCATAGGCCTAGTGGTCTCCCCTAAATTTAAAATAAAAATCACAAAGTTAAAAAAAAAAAAAAAAATAGTTCTCTCATGCTTAATTAACAGAACTTACCACAAAACTAAAAAGATTCATTTAGAAGTTCCTGTGATTTTTTAAATCTCCATATGCAGGAAAAGAATCTGTTGCTAAGGATATATTTTGCAACTAAGAAAGTTTATGATGTACAGTATATCTGACCCAAAATTAGCATACATAATAAAAAATTAAACATAATTACCAATCACAAGACCAGCAGAAAAATCATGTTCTTTTCCTACTTTCTTCAGCACCTCGAAAATCTGATAGGCCAATTCTCGTGTTGGAGTGATGACCAGAACTCCCAATCCATCCATAGGTGACCATCTTTTGCAGTACAACATTTCCAAAAGCTAAGATATAAAAACAGTATTGGTTATACAAAATGAGGTAATATACATCCATTAAATTATAGAAGGAAGTACCTGTATATACTTTCCCAAGTCTGAGGTGCTAAAACACCTAAAGTCATGAGAAAGTAGTGTACATATTGTTAAACATAAAATCAATAAAAAACTGAAAATCTGGCAACACACAGCCTCTCCTCAATGATGGAGTTCCGTTCCTAAGGCCACGTCAGTAAACAAATTCGTCGTTAAGCAAGGAGCACACTATAATGGTAGTGGGTTTGTCAACCATTTTTGATATTGTTTTAATGTCACCTCTGCACCATTTATAACATTTTTAGTATATTTTTAAATGTTTATACAGTAGTGTACTGTACAGCCTCTCCTCACTTAGCGATGTACTCGTTTACTGACGCTTTGGACTTATGATGGGCTCTCTGACCAGTATTCATACTTAAATATTAGAGCTGATTTCCTCTATTCTATTTCAATATACAGTACACAACTCTATAAATATTTAAAAATATACCAGAAATGTTATAAATACTGCAAATGTGACATTAAAACATCACAGATGGTTGACACCAACTCACTACTATTATAGTATGCTTGTCACTTAGCAGTGAATTCGTTTAACGATGTGGTCTCAGGAACGGAACTCCATCGTTAATTTAGGAGAGGTTGTATATTGCAATAAACAAAATAAAGAAAATCAGCTCTCATATACGTTATTTAAGTAAACATAGTGGTCAGAGAGCCCATCGTAAGTCTGAGTTGTCGGTAAACAAGTACATCGCTAAGCGAGGAGAGGCTGTGATAAATTGTAAAATGTAAATATCACCGTTGCATTCACATCACCATTGCTGTCGGGTGATTTTTTTTTTTTTGCCAACTTCAACACACCATAAAATCATTTTTGCCAGATTCAATTTAAAATATTTTAATCTTATTCAATTTATAAAAATGAGCTCTTTCAATCTGTAAGGAAAAAAAATGTTTCCCCAAATCTTGCTATACAACTTCTTAACTGTGGGTATGCCACAGTTAAGGGGTTAAATGTATGTTAAAAAAAAAAAGGGGGGGGGAGACCACATCAGAGTACAGCTGTACTAGTCCTTTTCTATGGGTGTGATACATGATCTCTGAATGCTGAAGCAAGGAGGAGGGTGGTAGTGGAACAAACAATATTTGGTGTGAACATTACGAGTTGATGAGAAGCAAACTGATGAGCCCATCAGCCAGCAAGAATTGTGTTTCCTATACCAAAATATTTGTCTTTCTTTCAAGTATCGCATACACCACTTAGATTGCCAAGATTGTCCAGGAGGAATATTTCCCTGATGAAGAGAACACAAGGATCTCTCTTTCACTCCCTCCCTTCCCCAACTTCCTTGACATCAAAACTTCCTGCACTTCTGACTATCAAAGTCTAAGAATCTTCAATGCAATTCAGTGCAGATATAGTTAAATGATCCTTTTGAACTTTAACAGCCCCACCCATCTTTCAGAGTGCAGGTACTCTATTTTCCACCCTTTTTTTTTTATCCTTGACTCATACTTAGTCTAAGCAGGTAGAAGTAGACAGTTCTTCTCAGCAGACAGCTTCACTGTGGACTTCCAAGTCCTTTGCTATCTGTCTTTCCTATGTAATCCAAATTACTTCAATAATTATGAATTGCAGCACTAACATAAAAATTTAAATGAATACAAAATTATATACAGTAATGCACATCAATACAACAATATACTTTTTTTTAACATGCTTGCCGTCTCCCACAGAGGCAAAGTGACCCAAAAAAGAAACACTTTTGCCATCATTCACGCTATCACTGTCTTGCCAGAGGCATGCAGATATGACAGTTCAGATGTCCCTCCAAACAGCACATATCTCAAACCCATTCCTCAGAGTGCAGGCACTGTACTTCATATGATTACTTACTGGAATTATAAAAGCTAATGTCTTCCCAAAGCCTGTTTTTGCAGCTGCAACCACATCAAATCCACGAAGTGAGAACACCAGAGAATGACGTTGTATTTTGGTGGGGACAAGATAATTTGAATCTTTGAGCCCTTTCAACGTTCTTTTACTTAAGGGCAATTTTGCAAAACTTTGAATTTCATCAGGATTTATTTCACCAAGCTGAAAATAATGAGACATTTAATTAACATTTATTGGAACATTATTTATTGCAATTTATGAGGTAAATGAAAAGGTATTAAATTTTTATTATTATATTGGCATGAGTGCTAAACCCATATGGGTTATACAGCACATGAGGAATGACAGGTAATCAGGGTTGATTCAAGAGGAAAGGTTGCTACCAATTAACAAAAAGAATGAAAAATCACAATACCCTGGCCAAAATAATTCACAAATAACCCACACCAGGAGTGGAAACTTATCATAATGTTTAGGCCCTTCCTCGACCATTGTTGAGTCACAATACCTCGGTGTTCTTCAGTAACACCTAGAGAGAGCTAGGGACACCAAATTATGTTATCAAATTTAACATCCTAAAGACAACATTCATAAAAGATAGCAATTTAATACAGTATCATCTAGTTTTATATAAAATATTGTACACTCAGTGGTCACTTAACTAGGTACAGCCTTCTGGTATTGGGTTGGGCCCTCCTTTGCCCCAAGAGCAGTCTGAATTCATGGTATGAATTCAACAAAGTGCTGGAAACATTCCTTAGAGAATCTGGGTTGTGTTGACATACAGTGGAACCTCGGTTTTCGTGATTAATCGGTTTGAAAAAGTTTGACGAAAACCGAATCGTAAGAAAACGGAAGCAATATTTCCCATAAGAAATAATGAAAATCCAATTAATCCATTCCAGACACCCAAAATATTAACAAAAAATACATTTATATAGAATTTTCTCAAACCATCCTGTCTGGCACCAACAATTCCACAGTCAAAGTTGTACAAGTGTACCCAATAAAGTGGCTACTGAATGTACATATTTTTAATGCACCAGTTGTCCCCCACTGAGGGAGGGTGACCCAAAAATAGAGGAAACACATTCACTGTCATTCAGATGCTGTACTGTCTTGCCTTAAGTGTGTAGACACAACAGTTCAGATAGTCCTCCAAATTGCAACATCCTCACCCATCCTTCAGAGTGTACTTCCCACCTCCAGGGCTTAAGTCCAGCTAACCAATTTCCCCTGAAACCTTTCATAAATGCTACTTTGCTCACACTCCCACAGCATGTCACAAAAACCACTTAACCTAAGCAATACATTTTATATATAATATAAAACTATCATATGACATTTTGAGACTCTTCTGACAATTGAAAATCATAATAAAACATTGTTCAGTTAATATTAATAATGCTGTAATAAGAAATCAGCAACAGCAATAATACAATAATACCAAAAAACAATAATAATAATAATACATAAAAATACTGCTACTACTAGAAATAGCAATACAGTGGACCCCCGGTATTCGATATTAATCCGTTCCTGAGAGCTCATCGAATACCGAAAATATCAAAAAGCGAATCAATTTTCCCCATAAGAAATAATGGAAATCAAATTAATCCGTGCAAGACACCCAAAAGTATGAAAAAATTTTTTTTACCACATGAAATATTAATTTTAATATACACAAACTGAAGAAGACATGCACAGTTACATGACACTTACCTTTATTGAAGATCTGGTGATGACTGATGGGATGGGAGGAGGGGAGAGTGTGGATGGTGTTAGTGTTTAGAAGGGGAATCCCCTTCCATTAGGACTTGAGGTAGCAAGTCCTTTTCCGGGGTTACTTCCCTTCTTCTTTTAATGCCACTAGGACCAGCTTGAGAGTCACTGGACCTCTGTCGCACAACAAATCTGTCCATAGAGCTCTGTACCTCCCGTTCCTTTACGATTTGTCTAAAATGGGCCACAACATTGTCATTGTAATAGTCACCAGCACGGCTTGCAATAGCTGTGTTAGGGTGATTTTCATCCATAAAGGTTTGCAGTTCAACCCACTGTGCACACATTTCCTTAATTTTTGAAGTAGGCACAATGGATTCCACAACTGGCATAGGCTTCTCAGGGTTAGCCCCAAACCCTTCAAAATCTTTCTTAATTTCCATACTAATTCTCACCCTTTTTACCACAGGGTTGGCACTAGAAGCTTTCTTGGGGCCCATGGTGACTTATTTTGCAGAAACAAGCACCAAAAACAGTGATAATATGGAATGTACTGAATGTATCCTTAGATGCGCGCACACTAGCTGGCTTGTAAACACTGGCACACACAGGGCAGTTCAGGCCACACGTGGACATGTCTCGTACGAATCGTATCGAATACCGGGTTTTCAATCGGATACTGAGGCAAAATTTTTGCGTTAAAATGCATCGAATACCGGATTTATCGAATACCGATGCCATCGAATACCGGGGGTCCACTGTAATGTAAAAATAATGACATTAGGAAACAAAACAATACTAGCAGACACAGGTTTAGGATTCCTAGTAATAACATCAGTAAATTAACTAAAAAAATCAACACTGCTAATAACAACAGGATCAAATTAAACAAAAAAAAAAAATCAACAATTTGAATGCATGTCAAATAATTTTTATATTTTAAAATGTTTGAATTTCTTTAGTCTCCAAAGTTTTCTGTTCATTTTTGGTGCCCCAGGCAGACACCTAAATAATCACTGAGGACAGTGCCCATGTAGTTCCTGTGTGGAAGTGGCCCAGAATGCTGAACATAAATTCTCATTCTAATGGGCTGCAACTGGTTTGGTTGATTCAGAAATTTGTCTATAAGCCATGTGTTTGACAGTGTTCCTTTCCTTGATAACCAGTGCACCAACAACAAGTAACAAGTCAACCCTCTTCTTCCTCTTTGACTTGCTAAAGTGTCTAGGGACAAAGACATATATGATGTTGTCTGGAAAGCCAATCTGTTGGTTACAGAATTTCCCATTATTCTGATCATGGCAATATGATCTCATATCTATACCCCCCTTTTTTTTCCTAGTAACCTTTCAAATCAAGGATTTAATGTTTAACCCTTAAACTGTCCAAACGTAGATCTACGTTCACGTGCATAGCACTCCGACCTTGATTTTCCCCATTTGAAAGCACGTAAAAAAAAAAACGTAGATCTACGTTCAGAGCCTGCCTCACGTCAATGTATATATACGTTTGGACAGTTTAAGGGTTATTGCCTGTCCATATCGAGGTTAGTCCTAGCTAATAAATAAAAATAAGAATTAAGAACTACAATTAACTTACCTCTTTCTTTTTATTTTTTAGATTATTTATCTCTTCCTTTTCCCTTTCATTCTTTTTCTTTTTTTTTTCAAATTTATGTTCTTTAATAGTTTTAAATCTGGGTTTTTTATTTGGATGTTTTTGTCTGTCCATGCCTTATAAACTTTGTTGGACTTGCTGGAACTCTCTGCAAAGTACAAATTAAGGTATAGTACTATTACATGACTGAAATATATGCAATAGTACAAAATAAGATATATATACCAGTAAAAATCTGCACAAAGAATATAAAATCATAATATCATGGCTGGAACATTTTACTAAAATCCTGAACTTAGAAGAAGACTTATATGATGCCACTGCAGACCATCCTGGACCACTGTCATGAGATTCCTCTCCTAACTTCAGATTTTGGGTGAATCTGTAAATACAGTGTGAACTGCAAAATTGGTTTTGGCTCCTTTTTTTTTAAATTTACAACAAAGTTGTCTTTACAGTGTACACAGGATGTTGCCTATTTTGTAGACAGTACATTAATTAACTATAGTTGTTGGCTGTTACTTGCCACAATTAGGATTTCTAATTTTTGTTTAATATCTTGTAAGATTTAAAATTCTAATTTTTGTAGCACAGTATATCTTGTAAATAAACATTTTACTTGCAGTGACGTACTCATTTACTGACCACTCGGACATATTACCAGCTCTCCAACTAGTATGCAAACCTAAATAATGTATATTAGAGCTGATTTCCTCTATTCTGTTTATTACAGTATACAGTACACTACTGTATAAACATTTAAAAATATACAAGAAATGTTATCTAAAGATGGGTGACAAAAACCCACTACACCAGCACAGTATGCTCCTTGTTTAACGATCAATTCATTTACTGACCTATTCTTTTATTTATTTATTTATTTATTTATTTAGTAATTTGAGCATACATACAGAGGTACAAAAAAATACAGGTAAGAGCAGCATGCCAAAGCCACTTATATGCATAGCATTACGGGCTGGCTTAAAATTAACTTAAGATTAACTAAGCAATGATGAAATCAGTGATAAGACATTATTGTAAACAGATAACTATAAAGCACAAATGAGTATTACAAAGACAGGTCATATGGTTGCATGCATTGCTGTACATTCAGTCGAATGGAGTATTCTGTTAGATTGGGTTTTAGGTTTAACATTTATGTGATATAATTGTGAGAAACATTTAAGATATACAATTTATAAGGTTCAGTTATTCAGTATTTATTTGGTTTTGGGTGAGTAAGTGATCTTTGAGAAGAGACTTGAATTTATAAACAGGTAGTGTTTCTTTTATATTTACAGGTAATGAATTCCAGATTTTAGGGCCTTTTATGTGCATTGAGTTTTTGCATAGCGTGAGATGGACACGAGGAACATCAAAGAGTGATCTGTGCCTTGTGTTATGGTCATGTGTTCTGTTGAGGTTGGCAAGGAGATGTTCGAGGGGAGGGTTAATATCAGAGTTAAGTGTTCTATGTATGTAATAGGTGCAATAATAAGTATGGATGTTTTGTATGGTGAGTAGGTTGAGTGTTTTGAATATTGGTGGAGCATGCTGCATGTAGTGAGAATTTGTTATCATTCTAACTGCAGCCTTTTATTGGGTAATTAGTGGTTTGAGATGGTTAATTGTTGTTGAGCCCCATGCACAAATTTCATAGGTGAGATAGGGGTAAATAAGAGAGTGATAAAGGGCCAGGAGGGCTGACTGTGGAGCACAGTACCGTATCTTCGATAGTATGCCTACAGTCTTGGAAATTTTCTTAGAAATTTGTTGTATATGTGTATGAAATTTGAGTCTATTATCAAGGTGGATTCCTAAGAATTTTCCCTCTGTTAGCTTTGTGATAGGTGATCCGTTTATCATTATGTTAAGAGGGACATCTGTAGCTCTGTTACCAAACTGAATGAAATAGGTTTTGTCAATGTTTAGTGTAAGTTTGTTAGTCCTCATCCAGGTAGATATTTTCTGTAATTCGGTATTTACAGTATTGGCTAGTGTGACTGGGCTCGGGTGAGAGAAGACGTATGTAGTGTCATCTGCAAATAGTGTGGGTTTGAGTAAGTGCGAAGCATTTGGTAGGTCATTTATGTATAGGAGAAAGAGAAGAGGGCCAAGGACACTTCCCTGTGGGACACCAACTGTAATTGGTTGTGCGGAAGAGCTTGCCCCATTTGCGTACACATATTGGCTTCTGTTGCTGAGGTATGACTTGAGGTAGTTGAGGGAGTGCCCTCTTATACCATAGTGTGACAATTTTACGTGGAGCAAGTCATGGTCAACTGTATCAAAAGCTTTACGTAAGTCAATGAGATCCCCAGTGGGACTTCTTTTTCTCTATTGCAGTGTATATATGTTCTTGCATGTGTATAATAGCATCATTAGTATTTTTATTAGGCCTGAATCCAAATTGGCAGGGGTTGAGTATGTTTTGGGAGATGAGGTAGGAGTAGATTCGTTTATGAATTAATTTTTCGAAGATTTTTGAGAGAGGGTGTAAATTGGATATTGGCCTATAGTTATTCAACTCTGTTTGGTCTCCTCCTTTATGGATCGGGGTGACCCTTGCTATTTTGAGAACTGTAGGGAAGGTGGAGGATTCAATGGATTTGTTAAAGAGTGTTGCAATGATTGGTGATAGCACTTGTGACACTTTTTTGTATATAAAGGGTGGTAAGGTATTTAAATCTGCCTTGTTTTTTAGTGCGTTGATAATAAGGGAGACTTCGAATGGGTTAGTCAGAGCTAGGAACAGTGTGTTCGGGTAGTTGCCAGTGAGGTAGTCATTTGGTGGGGTATCCGAGCTTGGGATTTTATTGGCAAGGTTTTGTCCTATAGTGGAGAAGAAATCATTGAGTCTGTTTGCTGTTTCTGTTGGTGGGAGTTGGGGTTCATCTGATTTTGCTAATTTTATTTCGCTATTTCGTGATATCTTTTTTGTTCCCAGAATTTCTGATAGGGTTTTCCAGGTCTTTTTTATATCACCTCGTAAGTTGGATAATCTGTTCTCATAATACAATTTTTTTGCCCTTCTTATCAGGCTGGTTAGGATTGACGAGTAACGTTTTGTTTGGTCTCTGGTTATGTGACCCATTCTGTACTGTTTTTCATATCGGTGTTTTGTATTTATGGATTTGAGAATGCTGGGTGTTTAGCCAGGGACTGTTCAGTCTCTTAGCTGTCATCTGTTAGTTTTTTTTAGGGCAGTGCTTGTTATAGAGGTATTGGGTCTTTTTAGAAAATTATTAAAACATTCGTCAATATCTGTATAGATTTCTAGCTCAGTTGTGCCAGTCAATGTTTGTTACTGCTGTTGTGAAGTTATTAATGGCTGCCTCATTGTGAAGTCTGAAGGTGACTTTAGTAGTGTCTTGGGGTAATTTACCAAGAGTTGTTATGAGGAAAGTAGGGTAGTGGTCTGTGGTATTATCTGTAATTATGCCTGATTTTAAAGGGGATATGGTGTTGGTCCAGATGTGGTCAAGTAGGGAAACACTAGTCTCCGTAACTCTTGTAGGTTTTGTTACTGTTGGTAGCAACATGCAGTTACTCATTGTGTTTGTGAATTCAGTAACGTGTGGGTCCTGGTCTTGCAGGAGATTTATATTGAAGTCACCTGAGAGTAGTACGTGATCTTCGTTCATGCATGCATCAGTTATCATACTTCCTAGGTTTTGACTAAATTGGCTAATGTTTGACTGTGGAACTCTGTAGATGTTTATCAATGTGAGAGGTTTTTGTAAGTATTTGGATTTGAATTTAGCTATTATATATTCCCCATGTTCATCCCTTGTGCAAGTATTAGTGATACATTCTAGTTGGTCTGAGTAGTATATAGCTGTGCCATCCCCTTGTTGGTCTGGCCTACAGTTGTGTATGGCTGTGTAACCAGGAATGGCATAGACATCTGTAGTATCAGGCTTTAGCCAGGTTTCAGTTAGTGTAATGATGGACATATTGGCATGCAAGGAATTTAGTAATGCTATGAGGTCATCGTAATGCTTGCTTAAAGATCTGATGTTGTAGTTAAAGACAGTTATGTTTTTGTTGGCTCTGAGAAGTGCCTTTGATTTTCTGCTGTGTAGTATTACAGTAACTGTTTGATTCATTTAAGTCATTAAATAAGAGGTTGGTATCAGGATCAATGCTTGTAATCATAAGATTTGTAGTGAATCTATAGTTAGAATTAAGTATAAAACAAAGTAAATATTCTAAAGCTAGATAATAGCACCTGAATTATTTAACAAATGTAAAAATAATGAGCTAAGGTAGTTTTTTTAAAGCTAAAATAAAGGAGACAATATAAAAGGGGACTAAAATAATTTGTGGTGAACAAATAAAGTGATGATCAAATAATGGAGCTTGGGAATATGATAGTAGGTAGTACTTTAAAGGTAATTCTTGAAAGTTAGAATTATAATATAAAATTATAATATAAAGGGACTAATATAAGTTGTTGGTGAACAATAAAGTGGTAATCAAATAAATGAGCTTTGGAATATAATGGCAAAATAGTGAACTTATTACACTTTAGCACCTGAGAATAGCACCTTGATTATTTTAACAATTGTGAATATATGAACTAAGGTAGTAATATAAAGCTAAAATAAAGGAAAAAATATATAAGGGACTAAAATTAAGTAATGGTAAACAAAGTTAAATGGACAGATAGTCACTATGAAATAATATTGGTTTAGGAGTAAGATCTGATTTGTCAATATTAAATAAGTTGAGCAGTTTTATTGCACAATAAAAGTAAAAAAATGAGGTAGTTGGTACTAGCTAGCAAAAGATAGTTTTGGTACTTGCAAAAAAGTAATTGGAATATACACTAATTGCACATACAATAAAAAGTGACTAAAAAAACAAGTAGTGGTAAACAAAATTAAATGGACAGGTAAGAACAATGAATAATATTAATTTGGAGTAAGATTTGACTTGTAACACAAAATTATGAGCAATTAATAGCAGTAAGAAAGAAGTATAAAGTATTGGAGGTAGTTAGCATTAGCTAGTGATGAAAAAATAATAAAAATAATAATGCACAATATAATAGTAACGTACACTATATGCACCACATGTATATATGTATTAAGGGCACTTATCTAATCTGTTACAGAAATGTCCGCTTTTCTAAGGAAGGTAGAGAAATCATGTTCGTTTGAGATAGTATATTGTTGTCCTGTTGATGTTTTCCTTACTAGTATTTTCCCATCTTGCGTGAAACACTTATGTATTTTGTTTTCCTGTTTAAGTTTTCTCAGCCTGAACAGAAGGTTAGGAACAGAAACCTGTCGTTAAGTGAGAAGAGGCAGTATATATAACAGGCTTTACCATGTATGATAACATGTATCATTCAATCCTATACAAAGTATCATCCAGGTGAATAAATTTCTTTACCATTTATTCTCATGCTGCCAATTTGCCAAAAGCCAAACTAAAGGATTTCTCGACTCATACATGGCATAATTAAGTTTATTTAGGTACAGTTACACACACAATTACCCTTATTTAGGTACCTACAATTATCTTATGTAATAATGTGTAAATTACCTAGGATAACCCCAAAAAAGGTCAGACAAAGTGACATATTTCCATTAGGGTCCTTGAACATGTAACCCCAATAGGTAAAGGACATGTTTCAGTGTTTCCTTAAGAAATCTGCTGTCCATGTTCACCTAGCAGTAAAATAGGTACCTGGGTGTTAGTCAACTGGTGTGTATACCTGGAGAAAGTTCTGGGGGTCAACGTCCCTGCAGCCCAGTCTGTAACAAGGCCTCATGGTAGATCAGGGCCTGATCAACCACGCTGTTACTTCTGGCCGCACGTTATCCTGGGAACAAAATTAACCTAATTTGCCCGAAATGCTCTGCATAACCAAGGGCTTCTATATAGCAGTATGTCACTGATGTCAACTATGGTCTGTATAAGTTGTATCATGTATTTGTAGAAATAAAGATTATTATTATTATTATTAGTACAGCAAAGCAAGTTTATTTAGGTACAGGTACACATAAGTAAAGTTAGGGAGGTAATTTACCTATGATAACCCAAAAAAGTCAGACAAAGTGAATTATTTCAATTGGGGTCCTTGTAAATATCTTATTACTATTATTATTATTATAATAAAAAGAAGCGCTAAACCACAAGGGTGGCCTGGTGGCTAATGCTCCCGCTTCACATGCGGAGGGCCAGGGTTCGATTCCCGGCGGGTGGAAACATTTCGACACGTTTCCTTACACCTGTTGTCCTGTTCACCTAGCAGCAAATAGGTACCTGGGTGTTAGTTGACTGGTGTGGGTCGCATCCTGGGGGACAAGATTAAGGACCCCAATGGAAATAAGTTAGACAGTCCTCGATGACGCACTGACTTTCTTGGGTTATCCTGGGTGGCTAACCCTCCGGGGTTAAAAATCCGAACGAAATCTTATCTTATCTTATCTTACAGCTGTATATATCTTATTATTTACAGCCTAGCAATAAGATACACCTGGTAAGTTTATTTAGGTCCAATTACACAATTTTTGGCTGAATTATAAGTTTATTTCATAATTATATGTTATAAATTATATAACAGTCCCCAAAAAACATTAAGTCTACCATTACAGGACAAAAATACTTAAGCAAATACATGAAAATAAATTACGAAACAATTAAAAATAAAATGAGTAAATCAAATACATGAAAATGAATTACAAAAGCATTAAAAAGAAGGATATCCTAATATATCTATAATATATTTTACTAAATTTATACATTAGTCTAACTGTAATTAATGCTCTAAACTAAGGTTAATCGCTTTAAAAGACACGACCAGTAACTCATTCCTTTGGCTTTAATATTACTATGGAAAGCTACTTTTGTAATAAGCTTTACTGGACAGAGCAAACTTACCGATTTATGTGTTATTTTAGAAGAAATAACAGACCATTACAGTTCAGGTGATGCACATGGTGTTGGGGTTGTTAAGGACCATCAAAACTTACGTCTTATTGAACCCGGGAAGCAGGGTTCAATAAGACGTAAGTTTTGATGCCCCTTAACAATAAGGGTTCAATTTATTCAGGTATACACAAATACAGTTACATAGAATTATCATACATAGCAGCATATGTGTAGAGAACCTAGGATAACCCAAAAAAGTCAGACAGAGTGACTTATTTCCATTGGGGTCCTTTAACGCCAATAATAAAATAATAATAATAATAATAATAATAATAATAATAATAATAAAAATAATAATAATAATAATAATAAAATAAAAGGGGATTGAGGGTTAATAAGGGCAGGTAAGTAAGTTTATTTAGGCACTGGTACACATAAGTACAGTTATCATACGTAGTGTAAGTTACCTAGGACAACTCTAAAAAAAAGTCAGGCAGTGCCTTATTTCCATTGGAGTCCTTGATTTAAGATCGTTACCCCTTTTCTCTCATTCTTTCGTTGTTTTTTTTTCTTACTCCGAATGTAGCCAGTGGGATAATGACGATGCTTTGGGATTACAACAGTAGGAGAAATGAAGAAACTATTAAGTGATTTAGATACCTCGAGGGTAATATGACTAGACAGCACCTCCCTATGGGTTCTGGAAGAGAAAGAATAGCTGTGTGAACCGCTAACAGCGATCTTGAAGCTGGAGTATTGCCGTACACTAACGGCCTCTTTCAAGGCAGGAGAAATTGCAGACCTGGAGAATATATAGACAAGTCCAGGTATATTCCAGGGCAGCTACCAGAGGTCTGGAAAACAACTAATGTAGTCCCGATATTCAAAAAAGGAGACATACAGGTGGCATTAAAGTACAGATCAGCGTCACTGACAGGCACAATATATAAGGCTATGTTGAGTATTATTACGAGAAGAGAAGTAGAACACTTGGAAATGAGCTAGACCGGTAAATCCGGTCTAGCAGATCTGCTAGAGTTCTGTGACAATTCAATTCAATTCAATTCAATTCAAAGTTTATTCTCTATAAGGATTACAATGCTGAGTTTACAGAATTTGGTTATTGTGTGGTTTACATATAGTAAAATAATGATTACAGAGTGTACCACTAGAACACCTAGCATGGCTAGGCATTTCGGGCAGACTTAGTTTAATTCTTAATTTTAAAATATTACAAATAATGAGGTAAGTTGGTATTATGGCTAAGTGACTAAGTGAGTTTAGCAATGTGAATGCTTTTGTTTTGGCACAGTACATAGTTTCAGTATTGGAGTATCACAGGATTCATTATTTTAAGATTGAGATTAATATTTCTGTTTATGGTCAAATGGGTGAGTGAAAGTGTGAACCACCAGGTGGTATTCGTGTAGTTAGTTGACGGGGTGTATCAGGGAGATAAGATGTTTTCTAATGGTAGTTTTGAAGGTGATGAATGTGTCTGCAGTTCTAGAGTTCTCAGGTAGGGTGTTCCAGATTTTAGGGCCTGTGACATACATTGAATTTTTGTAAAGGTTTAGTCGGACACGGGGAATGTCATAGAGATGTTTGTGTCTGGTGTTATGCCTGTGGGTTCTGTCCCAACTATCAAGAAAGCGTTTTAGGTCAAGGTTGATATTGGCGTTTAAGGTCCTGTAGATGTAGATTGCACAGTAGTAAGTGTGGATGTACTGAACAGGGAGTAAGTTTAGATCTATGAAGAGTGGGGGGGGGGGGTGTTGCCAGGGATGGGATTTAGTGATTATTCTTACTGCAGCTTTTTGTTGGGTTATTATTGGCTTTAGGTGTGTTGCTGCAGTTGATCCCCAAGCACAAATAGCATAGGTGAGGTATGGATGAGTGGTATAGTGTGAGAAGGGCATTTTGCGGCACGTAGTATCGTATCTTGGAGAGGATCCCAACCGTTTTGGATACTTTTTTGGTTATGTGTTGAATATGGGTGCTGAAATTCAGGTTGTTGTCAAGGTATAGGCCTAGGAATTTGCCCTCATTATGTATGGTAATTAGAGTGTTGTCGATCTTAATGTTAATTTGTGCATCTCCTGCTCTGCTACCAAACATAATATAGTAGGTTTTGTCAGCGTTAAGCGTAAGTTTATTGGCTGTCATCCAAGTCGATATTTTGATCAGCTCCTCGTTAACAATGGTGTTGAGGGTGGCAAGATTAGGGTGAGAGATGACATAAGTCGTGTCATCAGCAAAGAGAATGGGTTTCAGGTGTTGGGATACGTTTGGAAGATCATTGATGTATATGAGGAAGAGCAGGGGACCAAGGACACTTCCCTGCGGAACTCCAGTATCAAGTGGCCGTGTTGTTGATGCTGTGTCTTTAATGGTGACATACTGATACCTATTAGTAAGGTAAGATTTGAAATAAGCAAGCGCATGGCCTCTTATACCGTAATGGTCAAGTTTGTGGAGTAGGATGTCGTGGTCTACTGTGTCAAAAGCTTTTCTTAGGTCAATAAAAATTCCTAGTGGATATTCCTTATTTTCCAATGCTGTGTAAAGCAGATCTAGCATTTTTATGATTGCATCATTAGTGCTTTTATTTTTCCTGAATCCAAACTGGCAGGGGTTGAGTATGTTTTGTGCCGTTATAAATGAATATAGTCTCCTGTGCACGAGTTTCTCAAAGATTTTGGATAGCAATGGTAAGTTTGATATTGGCCTATAGTTGTTTAAGTCTGTAGGGTCACCACCTTTATGTATTGGCGTAACCCTTGCCATCTTGAGTAGTTTTGGGAAGGTGCTAGTTTCTAGTGACTTGTTAAAAAGTAATGAAATAGCATGCAAAAGGACATGGGCCGCTCGCTTGTACAGTAATGGTGGGACATGAGACAGATTCCCTGAGTTATTTTTAAGCGACTTTATAATCTCGGTGACTTCCGTGGGCTCAGTTGGTGCAAGATAGAAGGAATTTGGGAAATTCCCATCTAGGTAGTCCCCGGCATGGGCATTGGTATGTGGGATTTTATTGGCGAGATTAGATCCTATGGTTGAGAAGAAGTCGTTTATCTTGTTAGCTGTGTCAGTGGGATGTAGTGGTGTTTCATTAGGTTTAGTTAGGACAACATTCTTGTTTTTTTTTCAGTTTGTGGGTCCCTAGAATCTGAGAGAGTGTTTTCCAGGTCTTTTTTATATCTCCTCTAGTGTCTGTGAATCTACTGGAGTAGTGTAGTTGTTTGGCTTTCTTTATTACTTTGGTGAGAACTGATGAATAGTGTTTAAGAATATCTTTGTGTATTAAGCCCTGTCTATATTGCTTTTCATATTGGTGTTTCTTGTCAATGGATTTCAGAATGGTGCTGGTTAGCCATGGGCAACCAAGCCGTTTGTTTGTGATCTGTTTCGTTTTTATAGGACAATATTTGTTGTATAGTCTAAGTAATTTGTTAAGAAAAATGTCTGTCCAGTCATCAATACCATTGGCCTTGGAGAATTCTGTAGGCCAGTCAACAGTCTCTAGGTCAGCTGTGAACTTCCTTATTGAGGCCTCGTCATGGAGTCTAAATGAGACTTTGTTGTATTCAAGTGGTGGTTTACTAATGTTTGTCAGGAGGAAGGTAGGGTAGTGGTCTGTAGTGCTATCTGTGATTATCCCTGATTTAAGGGGGGCTAGTATATTGGTCCATATGTGGTCTATTATGGTTGCACTTGTCTCAGTGAGCCTGGTTGGTTTAGTTATTGTTGGTATGAGAAGTGTGTTGTTCATAATGAAAGTAAGAAAGGAGAGGGAGGGATGTGTGGCCTGCATAATTTTCGATTGTAAGAATAACCAGAAGTCTGTAAGGAGTTGAACGAAGGATTTTAGGAAATATTGTTAGTGGAATCAGGAATCTTGCCAGACAGTCAGTGGTGTTCTATACAATACCTCATAAAAACTGGGTAAAAAAAAAAACTTACAGAAGCAAGCAGGGTTATATAAAGATAAGATGAGATAACCTTTAAGTTAAATAATTATCACTTTCACAGAAAATTATTTTTAACCCAAGATAACTCAAGAATTATTTATTTTCACCAAAATTCGATAAAACACATTATGTAGCTTCCCTGATCTATACGACATTTTACAAAGTCATGCCTGACTTAATACCAATTTCAGCTTATAATTTAAATTGAAAATATTAAAACAATCAGTGCCTCTGATATAAATCTTTTCCTGGTTACATATGCTAAAATCAAGAAAACACTGCGTTTACATATATACACCGCTAAATGTATGTCTTTTGGTGTATATACATTGAGAATTTATTTTAATCCAAATTTTAGGTATTAAAGTATTCTCGTCCGGTGATGTGTAAGTTACATGCAGCTTATATGACCTGTGTAGTCGACAGGCTTTTAAATCTGATGAATCAGCCTACAGGTTCTCTCTCCAGGTATACAGGTGAGACTAGATAGTATATACCTGGAGTTTACCTGGAGAGAGTTCCGGGGGTCAACGCCCCCGCGGCCCGGTCTGAGACCAGGCCTCCTGGTGGATCAGAGCCTGATCAACCAGGCTGTTGCTGCTGGCTGCACGCAAACCAACATACGAGCCACAGCCCGGCTGATCCGGAACTGACTTTAGGTGCTTGTCCAGTGCCAGCTTGAAGACTGCCAGGGGTCTGTTGGTAATCCCCCTTATGTGTGCTGGGAGGCAGTTGAACAGTCTCGGGCCCCTGACACTTATTGTATGGTCTCTTAACGTGCTAGTGACACCCCTGCTTTTCATTGGGGGATGGTGCATCGTCTGCCAAGTCTTTTGCTTTCGTAGTGGGTGATTTCGTGTGCAAGTTCGGTACTAGTCCCTCTAGGATTTTCCAGGTGTATATAATCATGTATCTCTCCCTCCTGCGTTCCAGGGAATACAGGTTTAGGAACCTCAAGCGCTCCCAATAATTGAGGTGTTTTATCTCCGTTATGCGCGCCGTGAAAGTTCTCTGTACATTTTCTAGGTCGGCAATTTCACCTGCCCTTTAAAGGTGCTGTTAGTGTGCAGCAATATTCCAGCCTAGATAGAACAAGTGACCTGAGAGTGTCATCATGGGCTTGGCCTCCCTAGTTTTGAAGGTT